ATGGGCGGTATGCCAGGGATGGGCATGGGCGGTATGCCAGGGATGGGTATGGGCGGTATGCCAGGTATGGATATGGGTGATGGTTCAGATGAAGAAGATGAAGATGATAATGAAGAAAAATTATCTCCAATGACAACTGAAAATGGTACAAATAAACAAGAATCAAAGAAATCTAATGATGAACCAGTTTCGACAACAGCAACAACAACAAAAACAGGCGGCGAACAACAACCAACTAGCAAAGAACAAACGGCATAAACTGTCTTTTTTTCTTTTGTTTCTTCGTCTTTCTAATGTTGTCCGTCCATAGGCGTAATGATGAACTGTTAGTTTTTCATGTGTTCTTTTATCGTTCCAAAATTCTTTTTTTGTCATTCCGAACGAAAAATTAACATAATCAAATAAGAACAACAACAAACAATATTTCTTTGTTTTTTTATTATTAGAAACAAAAAACAAGTTTATCAATCTAGTTTAATTAAAGATTCATTTTAGCTAAAAATTTATCATACAAATAATTTTACATTAAAAATTATAAAGATTCTTTAGAAAATATTTCTAATAACCATTTTACTAGCAATTGATAATATCATATCATGTTCTAAATGATTAATAACTTTCAAATCAAGATTATTTGTATCATGTGGATTCTAATAACCTATGAATATCCTGAAAATAGTTCGTGTCCTTATCTTATATTGCTGCTATTGATATATTGTATTTTTATAATTCAAAAAAAAAAAAACAAACATAATATTGTCTGTATATCAACTATTCATTATTTATATTTTGAATATTTCTAGATAAATAATGGCACCAAAAAAAATTTTAATACTTGTTGGTGATTTTGTTGAAGATTATGAAATTATGGTACCTTATCAAGTTTTACTTATGATTGGTCATCATGTTGATGTTGTATGTCCAGATAAAAAAGCAAAAGAAACTGTAACAACTGCTATACATGATTTTGAACAAGAACAAACATATACAGAAAAACGTGGTCATAATTTTACATTAACAGCAACATTTTCATCAATTAAAGCTAAAGATTATGATGCATTAGTAATACCTGGTGGACGTGCACCTGAATATATACGATTAGATAAACGTGTTCGTGATCTTGTACGTGAATTTGATAATAATAAAAAACCTATTGCAAGTATATGTCATGGTCTTCAAGTACTTGCTGCAGCTGGTGTTGTTACTGGTCGTAAAATTACAGCATATAAAACTCTTGGACCTGATCTTCAATTAGCAGGTGCAAATTATGTTGATGTTGAACCAACAGAAGTAGTTGTCGATGGAAATCTTGTTACATCACCTGCTTGGCCTGGTCATCCAAAATGGCTTGCAGAATTTTTAAAATTATTGGGAACAACAATTAATCCATAAACATTACATATTGTTCTATGTAGTTCTAGTCATCTTTTTTATTTGTCTTATATATATATATACATGCTAGCATTGATATTCAAGTTTTGTTTTTAAAATTTTATTGAAACTAAACAAGCATTGTTGTCTTTTAGAAAATGTCAAGTACAAATAATTCGAATAGTATTCCATTGAATACAACAACAGAAAATGAATTAGATGATCTTGTATCACAACTTCGTAAAAAAATTAATCAAAGTGATTGGCTTACACATAATACTTCAGCTAAATGGGAACAAGAAAATCCTGAATTAGCTAAACAATGGCGTGAAGCTATAAAAATTCAACCAACAAATAACTCTACTGAACAATAAATTTATAATTTAAAATGAATTTTGTCAGATTTTTCTTCTTTTTTTTTTTGAAATTAAAATAATCGAAGAATGACCTAAGGTTATATTGAAGTATGATATGATAAAATCGTTTTTTCACTTGAGACTATTGCTACTTGAACCATCATAATCAATAGTAAAAAAGTCTCTTGTGATTGAGTTTTATCGATCTTCATTCCTTGACTTATAAACGTTTGACACTTCTTTAGCCTTATGAGAATAGAATTGTTAAGAACTTGAATGATTGAATTTTGAGCAAAAATATAATCATAGAAAAAGGTTAGTTTGACATCAAGTTTTTACACTCAATGGCTTTCACTTTCCACATACACACATTAACAAAGTCATAACAGAAGATGTTTATCATAACTTAGTCATTATACTATCAAATGAGTAATACGAAGCAAATATTTATTAATCATTTACGTACTGTTATTTCATGATTAGTGTTACTGATTTTTGAAAATCATTCTTTTTGCATGTATATTAATGACAAAATGCGTATGAATTATATGTTTATTCATGCATACTTCCATACATAGTTAACAAAAACAGATCTATATCGAAATATTAGTCTGTCACAAAAACTTCCTTCTTTCGAAATATTCCTAAAAAAAAAGAACACAAAGGTGTTTATTTTAAATGTAAATATTTGAGCAAGTATTCTGGATTCAAACTTTAGAATGTTTTTAATGACTATAAAATCGATCTATAAGTTACGAAACAAAAATCAAGTAAAATATTAGACAATAATCTCAAATGAAAAAAAACAATCAGTCTTCTTATAAATAGATAAACAATTTTTGCAAATATTAATAATTAATGATTGTGTAATTCATATACGCGAATGTTCATCATATATCTTCAGACTAACAGGGTAATTAAAAGTACGCTAAGCTGAGCGGCACCCTATGACTAGAAGAAAGAAAAAAAAAATGTCATAATTAATATCATTTATAATAGATTCTATGGATTTTCTGTAAGATCATGGGGACATTGCCCTATCGCCTACACTCTCCTGCTTATGCCATTACTTTTAAGCTTATAATGATAATTAAATAAAATCCCTGCATATTATCTCTTAGTTATCTTATTATTCGAAAAAAAAAAAAAAATTGTTACAAACATAGACAAAGAAAGAAAAGAAAAAAAGAAAAGAAAAGGAAACGACATATACTAAATCGCAAATGAAAAAAGAGAATATAATCAACACCGTGACATACAAAGACAAAACAAAAGAATCAAATTATAGATTATATTAATACCGATGATGAATTTTGGAAAATTGAGACACATGTAAGAAGAAGAAAAGTTCATAAGTCAATACGTACATAAACCAACAAAACAAAAAGAAGGCTATGTTCAATAGTCAAAAAAAACAAAAACAGATGCTCATTCATTTATGAATCGAGCAAATCTTTAAAAATGATACTGTTCTGTAGAGAAAAGTCATACACAAAAAACACACGCACACACACATATATACCAAATGGATAGATATAATTCGACTTCACACATATTTTAAGGACAAAACAAAATCAATTTAAAACAGCACTGCTCAATGAGGTGACTATTAGAAAAAGAATTAAAACATTTATATACAAAAGAATTTTTGATGCGCACATCATCAGACTGCTTGTTGTAACAACAAACACAAAAAGAAAAAGGAAAGAAGAAGAAGAACGCAACACAGTCAAGTATTTTTTTCAACAAAAAAAAAACAAAACACGGAGTTTTGACAACAAAATCCCTGATACAAGAAACAAAAAAAAAAGACGATTTCTTTAGGCAAAAATGAATAAAGAAAATGCGCAGCAATATTTAATGCAAAACTTGGCAAGTCAATGCATTCATTTGACAAAAATGAAGCTTTAATTTTGAATTTTTCTTTGCATCAAACAAGAAAAAGATCAATTATGATACCTGTCATATTTCTGTACGCATACATATGTTTAAGTTTTTTTTTTTTTTTTTTTGTTATCACGAAAACAAGAGAGATTCAATGGACAATAAAAACAACAACAAATATGTTAATAGTCTCTACGAGGATCATGCTGTATATACATAAATGGCTTTAAAATAGACTGCTAAGCAGATGAATACTTTTTCTTGATTATTTTTTCTGTCTTTTAAAAGACAAGATGAGCAAACGCATAACACAATAATGATGATGTTTGGCTTTTTTTTCTTTTTTTTTCGTTTTTTTCTTTGCGTTTAGAACACCAGAGAATGAAAAATAAGAAACAATAGATAGATAGTTGCACAGTTAGCAGTAGATCAAAAAAAAAAAGTCCCTGAAGAAAAAAATGAGAAAGATAACATAACCTGCATCTAAGCAATGATCATCATTAGACTGAACAAGTCGATGAAACTAGAGTTGCAGGTGTACTTGATGGTCGACTAAGTGAATTTGTATTTGATTGATGATGTACATCAGTATGATCCGGTGATGATGATATAGATGTTACTGGTGATAATGATGAAATATCATTTGGATTTAGTCTAACCGTCACTGGATTATGACTATTTGATCGAACACTTTTTCTATGATGTGTTGTTGTTGACAATGATGATTGATGTTCATCATCATCATCATCATCATCATCATCATCATCTTCAATAATACCGGCTTCTTCATCTGTTGTATAATCCATTGGTTCAGGTAATGATTTATCATTAGTTGAATGTTGTTGTTGTTGTTGTTCATGTTGTTCTTGTTGTTGTAAAATTCTTCGAAGTATTGTACGTGCATTTAATAAATGTTTATTATCTACTGAAGAATTTGTTGATGAAACTGTACATTTACTTGTTAAAAAATTTGATAATTGAGCATTATTATTATTATTATTAATAAGTGATTGTGTTTGTTGTTGTTGTTGTTGTTGATTGTGAATAGTAAGAGCTTTTATAACTGTTAATGGTACACCCATAGAAAGAAGTTCTTCATAATTTTTTTCATTTAAACCTAAAAATTGTTGTTTTAATTTATCTTGTTCATTATCATTTATCATTGAAGAATTTGATGATATTTCAATTAATGTTCGATCTTCATCATCATCATCATCATCATTGTCACCATCATCATTATCATTATCATCATCATCACTATGAACTTCAGCAACAACAAGTGGCATTGTTATATTCATAGATTCATGTTCATTATTACATTGTATTTGTTTTGTTTTTGTATGTTCATCTTGATTATTATTATTAACATCTTTTAAACGTTCTTCATCAAGCATTTGATAAAATTTTGAACGTTTTTTTGGTGGCATTTTACGTATACGTTCCATAAGATCATCAACATAACCACCAACTGAATTTAATGATAATTGTTGTCGTTCATCTATTTCAATATCATTTGAATTTATTTTTGTTAAACGTTGTTTTATAGGATTTTTATTATCTTTTGAATTATAATAATATGAAGATGATGATATATCCGATGTTATTGATGAACCTGAATCTGTACGAATAGATGAAATAGGAGGTGATTGACGACTTGTAGCTAAACCTGATTCATAACCACTTGATGCATTTGAAGTCGACTAAAAAAGAGAAAGACAATGATATTATTGTTGTTTTTCTTTTTTTTCTTTAAAAAGAAATTTTTTTTTCGAAATGAAAATTTTCATACAGAGTCTTTTCTTGGTGGTATATATTCATCACTTTCATCATCACTTGCTCCACCATGACTTGTTGTTGATGAAAATCCACTTGAACGTCGTCTATAATTATTATAAGCTGCTGTAAGCATATCAGCATGTTGTTGCTGCTGCTGCTGTTGCTGCTGCTGCTGCTGCTGCTGCTGTTGTTGTTGTTGTTGTTGTTGTGTATTAAGTATTGTTGTATTATTATTTTGATTATTTCTTTGTCTCATAAGACATGTTGATGATAAAGAATTATTCATTGCATTTGGATATGAAGCACGCATTAATTTATAACGAGGATCATTTGTATAATGATGTTGTTCATCAATAGAAGTAGTTTTTAATGTTTCTGAATTAAGATATGATGATATTTTATTATGATTACTACTATTTGTATTCGATCGATTAATATAATTTTGAAGTTCATTTATAGAACTATTTGAAGTTTGTTGTTGATGTTGATATTGTTGTTGTTGTTGTTGTTGTTGTTGTTGTTGTTGCTGTTGTTGATGGGCTTGAGCAGCAGCTTGTACTGCAGCATGCCAAAATTTTGTTTGAGCTAATAATTTATTTTGTGCTGCTGTTGCTGCAACTGTTGAAGAAAATGGTGGTGGTGAACTACCACGTCTTTGTAATGATGGTGATGATAAGTTATTTATATCAGAATTCATACGTGTATTTATTGATGATGATACTGATGGTAAATATGTTGAACGTTGTTGATTTATCATAATTTTATTTGAATTTGATGAATGATGATGTTGATTAGTATTATATGATTGTGATTGTTGTCTATATGAAGATAAAAGCCATTCAGCATGTTGTTGTTGTTGTTGCTGTTGCTGTTGTTGTTGTTGTTGTTGTTGTTGTTGTTGTTGTTTATAACGATCAGTTGTAAGTGCAACTTTTTTTGGAATAGGAAGTCCTGATTCATGTGTATATGATGTTGTATTATGTCTATGTGATACAGATGTTGGTTGTTGTGTTGTTAGAGTTTGTTGTTTTTGTTTATTAATCATAGCTGCTGTTGCTGCTTGAGAATTTAAAAATGCTCTATATGTTGCTGGATCAGTAACACCAGCTGACATCATAGCTGCAGCCATTGATAATTGATTTAATGTTGATGATGAACTATTATTATGTGAATGTTCATTTAATAAACGTGATGGTTTTGTAATTGATATTGTTGAATGACGATGATAATTATTTGATGATGTTGATGTTGATGTATTTGTTTCTAAATTTTGTTCAGAATTTTGTGATAATGTTGATGATGAATTCATATTTGTAACAGCTACAGCTGCAGCTGCTGCTGCTGCTGCAGCGGCACGTTTTCGTTTTAAACTATATTTTTTATAGGGTGAATTATTTTTAAATGATGGATTTATTGTCCAAACATATTTGACTGGACCTTTTGATAATGATGATATAATAGGTACACGTATAAATTGATTGTGTAATGATAAATTATGTCGAATTGAATTCTTTTTAAAAGAGAAACAAAAAAAAAAATTAATTTTGAAAACAAAAAAAAAAAAACAATAAATACTAATACTTACTTTCCAACCCCAACTTGTTTTTGCATCAGTTTTATCTTTAAAATATGGCACAAATTTAATAATCCATTCATATACTTCATTTAATGTTAAACGTTTCCATGGACTACTATCAATAGCACGTGTAATCAATTGAGCATAAGAAAGATTACCCCATGGATTACGATAAGTTTTATTTATACCAATACCAAGTTCTTGTATAACTGATTTAGCTAAACGTTTATCATATTCAGCAAATATATCACGTTTTTCTTTTCGATGACGTGGCCATGTATTAAAACGTAAACGTTCACGATGAATATTATTAACAGATCCAATTGAATCGGATAGGGAAGTACTATATGAAAAACGTCTATGAGTCGGACGAAGGGATATTGATGTTTGAGATGTTCGAATATTTGAGGATGTAGGTGATGGTGATCGATCTATATAAATATTTCGATGACATATTGTATCTGGTGGCGAATCAACAATTAATGATGAATAATCGCCGGTAGTTGATGGAATATAATGATGATTCGTTAGATCTTCATCGTTGTCATCATCAACAACGACGGGAACGTCAATAGACTGACGAGAATGATGCATGGTCGGCACTAGTTAATATCTGACCATTGGGCCGCCATTGACTGTTGACTTACAGAGCATCTGGAAGTAAAAATGAGAAATAGAAAAAAAAAAAAAAAAAAAGAAAGGAAAAAACCAAAAGAAATTCATCGTTTTTTTTTATCTCCTGGGAACCATCTGGTATATGTATGCATGAACGCATGATTATGTGTATTGATCGAAAAATATAACCATTGTTATTACGTAAGAAACATTATAGAAAAAGAGAGTTCAACTTCTCTGGGTTCTCTCGAAATGGATATAGTAAAAATGTCACCCTTAGTTGCATTACTGGCAGAAGAAGAGAAAAAGGGAACGAAGAAAAAAAAAGTTGACCCTTCTACCTTCTACCGCCCGCTTGTGCGCACTCGTTTTTTTTTGTCTTTTTCTCTCATGTTGCATGCATGGAAACGATGATAGAGCAAAAACACCATCACAGAGAGCGTCGTCCGATGATGCATTCCGCCAACGAGCGCGCTACTCATTTTTTTTTGTTATGTGCTCAAGCGTACGTCAATGCACATTTCTTTCTCATATTTTTTTTTGTGCGCATTGCTTACTCAGCGCGGCCGAAAACAAAAGGAGTGTGCGACCTCTCTCTCGTATTCTTACATATATACGCAACAAAAGTCATTACATGAGTTATTTTTTTGATGAGAACGATAAGCCTGACCGCAAAAGTTTACGACAAGCAACGCATGGCGTCAGAAAGCAAGAAAAAAAAAGAGGAAATGACTTTTACGTAAAACAAAACAACGTTCTAAAAATAAGTCTATGTGGGTAAAAAAAGAAGAAGAAGAAAAAAAACAGAAGAAGAAAAATTCATGGAATCATCTATTAGTCAGATGTGTCAATAAAAGCAATAACTCGAAATTAACCAATACAAAGTCTTATATAATATATTCTATTTTTCTTTTTTTTTTGTTATTCTTTTATTTAACATAGGTTCCACTCTTTCTCCTTCTTCATTCATCACATCATTATTATCCCAAAGGAAAAATAAACAAACATTACTACATATTGTGAACGATCGTACAATATCTGTTTTTGAGTGCATTCGTATGGGAACTAAGTATTAACATTCGGAATTAATTAGACAATGATATCTAATGAGAAACATAAAATTCATAGAATATTTCGGTTCTCATTTGAATTTATCTCAAGGACTTCTATATGTACTAATATGTACTCTATGTTGCTAATAAATAAATTGATGAATAAAAATAGAAAAAGCAATCTCGGACAATATAGTACCTAGTAATCAATTGCCTAATGTTTGTTTATTTTGCTTAGATATTTATACATATCTGTGATTCTTTCTCGAAAGGGCACAGTATGTACGCATGAGCGAAGAGAAATCATCACATCAATACTTCTTTCTATCCTAATGCCTAAAAGTACAAGGTTTTTTTCTCTCGTTTTTTTTTCTTTATGTGCTGTTGTCACATTATCGTTGTCGCATCTCAACCAAATGAATGCACGTTTTTTTTTCTTCCATATACATATATATAAAAAAAAAAATATATATATATGCATCAGATGCATACAAGCAGCTTCTTTGAGCAGAACAAAAATCTCTCTTTTACTTTGCATACACTGACAGTAAAAGAAAAAAAAAATAGCTGTTAAATACGAATAGCGAACAAGGTTGTCAATATTACGTAACGATATGTAGGCGCATGTGTGAGCAGAACGTTCTGTTTTTATTATTGACATAAGATATTATGATATGAAGTATATACACGTTCTTCTATTTTCTTGTTTCTATAGTAAAATACATACATAGGCTTTTTCTCCTTCAAACATACCCTCTTCTATTAATCACCTAGAAGTGAATAAGACAAAAAAAAAAAAAAACGAAATTATATGAAAGTAGAAATGACGTGGAAATAAAATGTTGTTTTTTTTTCTTTTTGTTGCTATGTCATCAATCGCGATGGTAAAAGTGAAAACAAGAAAATTATCTTTGATCAACATCTATATTTAGAAAGAAAAACTTAATGTAAATGCTTTTCAATCTTATATAAATGAATACTTATTTTTATCAAATGAAAAAAACATCAAAACAGAATATGTAATGCATAAACTACCTTCATTCTATTTGTATTCATTTGCGTATATATATATATATATATTCAATGACTATTAACTAGCTCATAAAAAAAGAAAAAATAATAATAACAACAAAAACAAATTTACTTATAGTGCATATAAACACATGAATGTCTGAGCTGTATAATAACAAATTGCTATGTCATGATTCTTCGTTTTGTATTTAAAGAAAAAAAAAATAGAACGCATTAGAAAATAATCCATTTCATGACAATGTCATGAAACTTTATTCATAATTGAACAACAATAGATTAGCGTAGGCTAAAGATTATTATTCTTTAACAACAGTTGTCATATACAGAAAAAAACTAATTAATAATGCGCACAAACGCCTACCTACTCTTAGCTCATATTATCATTCCACAACAGATCCACTACACGCAAGAAAAAAAAAAAAAAAAAAAACAAGACATCCAAAGTGAATAAAAAGCATGACATAAAAAAAAGAGGAAAATTTCTCTTTCTCTTGCTTTCTACATTATGTTCTTATGTTCTCCTAACGCGTCAATTCTTAATTTATTTTACGTCAATATTAATTCAATTTAATATACATAAAAATTAATTTTAAATATGAATAATACATATATGAATGTTGTTATGACACATTCGAGGTTACTCTGAACATTATATCTCTATTAAGATATTAGAAATATCTTATTGATAAACAAATATGCATACCAATTTTTATATTAACCTTCGAACTTCAATCTAAGATTTTCTTTTCTCTATCTCGTTCTACTTTATTGCAAGAATATATGATATATGTTATTAGTTTGTTCATCTTATATAATCATAGATAGATAAATGAATGGAATGTAATGAACTCTATTTCTATTATCTAGAAAAAACACTCATCGTTCAACACATAGATTATTATTATTATTATAGAAAGAGAGAATGAATAACTTATGATCAATTTTATTTATCAACTATATATATATATAAATAGTTGATTGTTTTCATCTATAAATAAATATGTAGGATAATTGTAAATTTATTTTTGAATTATTTTACTTATGTAAAAAAAAAAAAATATGAAAAGAAAATAAAAATATCACATTTTTTTTTTCTTTTCATATTTTTTACATCAATAGTTTGATAGAATATTATATTTATATATATATATATGATAGGAAACATATTATGATATAAAAAAATGAATAATGATAAACTAAGTCATTCGATCTTACATCCAAAACAAATGCGACCTTCATGACTTGCCTTGAATTTCTTTATGAAGAAAAGAGAATAAGAAAAGGATCTTAACGTTCGGTCAAGGTCACTTTGATTTGTTGAATTTTGGGAATCTTATTGTTCTATATCGTGTTGACAAGGTTAAACTCTTTTTTAGACGTTATACATACATAAAACATTACGACGATCAATCAACCTTCAATGTGCCAGTAACATCAACAATGACGATGACAACGAATCTTTCAAGGCTTGAAGATACTATTGCTACTATTCATTGTTAATGCTAGTATTTTCTTCTTTTCTTGCTTTTCTAACATAGCGCGATAATGTGTGTTCAAGAACAAATATTGCTTTTTCTATCCTTTTCTATCTTCTCCTCTGTTCGTTCTCTCTCAAAAATACATAAATGCAATCATCAACGAACGACGATATAAAGCATGTAGATGACGCAATCAAATGCTTTCTCTCTCTCTCTTTCTCTCTCTCTTTCTGTGATTTAATCAACAAACGAATACATAAGGCAAAGAAAAAAAAATAGAACTTGCCGATCAAGCACCATTCAAGGCTTTACAAATATATGTATGTGCATTCAATAACCTTGAACAGCTGTTCGAACTGGTCGTTTTCGTATTAAATAGGATACTATACTTCCTTTCTCAAAATAGTTTGTTCTTTTTTTTCTTTCTTCATTGCTTTTTTGTTTTATTTGACACTCTTACCTTGATTACATATACATTTTCTGCTTTTTTTTCTCATGCAATCTGCTGTTCAAATACACATTTACAAAGAAATAACCCTGAACGGACCTTGAACCATAATGATGGTGAAAGGGACAATATATAGATATAAATATATATATATATATATATCTATACACATTAAGAGAACGAGAATAAAGAAGAAAAAAAGAAAAAAAAAAGAAGGCTTCATTTTGCTTCTTGAATAATTACCAAAACAGAAAAGTGAAGTCTGTTGTAAACAAGCCAAAAAAAAATATGTATAAAGCTTGCGTAAATGTAACTTAATAAGAAAAAGAAAAAAAAAAAAAGAAAACTCTTGTAAGATTACATCATTGAAGTTAACAATATAGCTTACCTAATATTTCAATCATTTTTTATTGTTTCATTTCTACAAGAATAAAATTAACAAATACAATGCAAAAAAAAAGAAGCAATGGATATTAATGTATTACATAAGCTAAATATAAACGATAGAATCAATTGTAAATTTTTTTTCAATCTTATTTTTATTTAAGAATATAATGAATCATAACAAATAATCAAGTTCAATTCAAGAATATTCTCTCTTATATAATTTTGATTATGACAATAACAAAAAAAAAAGAAAAATGTCCTAGAAGTGCTAAAACAGTTTTTAAAATCTAAATCATTCGTGCGTTTAGCAGATGACTAAATGTAATCAACATTAAATAACTACGAAGTTTTACATATTTAATAATGAAAAATTTGAATTAAACGATTTTAGTTCATATTTATAAATTAAAAGAATTTTTTGAAATTAAAACAATTTATTTTTTCTAATTTTAATAGAACTTGTAATAACATCAGTTTGATTTTATAGAACTTTCGATTATCAAAAAAAGAAAAACATCTTTGATAGTATTCTTTTCTTTATGATATTAATAAATTATATTTCGTTAAATCAACTAATATTTTACCTGTATGTTGTTATTTTTGTTATAGTCCTAGGCCGATAAAATATGATCGTAAATGGCTGTTTAGTACGAAATATGACAAAGAAATTCGTTCGTCGTATATTATCAAGGTATATAAAGCTTTATTTTCGAATACAAATAACGTATAAAATAAAAAAAAAGTAAACAATTATAGTGTACGAATATTAGTACACAATAACATATGGTTGAAAGTAAGTCATGTGTATTAGCTTGTACTTATCGAACATATAAAATTTTGCATTTTGAACTCATAAAAACGAAATCAAGGATAAGTAATTATTTATAAATATATTCGTTTAATATTTCATGTCTATATTTTGCTTTTTTGTAGGGTGAGAGAGAGGAAGTAGTTTTATTCTTTTTGAATGAGAGACTTATGTATAAATACGATAGGATACTACAACATACATTCATAATTTTAAGGTCAAATAAAAGGATGATTTATTGAGGTTCATAAGTTTTGTACTGAAATAGTTCGAATAAAAGTTTATATCTCTATATAACTGATAAAAAAATTTTTTTTTTTTTGTTCTTGTAACGAACGCTACAGAAATGATCTTATGAGTTGCATCCATTTATTTGAGTAATAATAATAATGCATATCAATTTAATTTATTGACAAAATTTCTAAAATAGTACTTAGTAAAGTAAATATTATAGATTTAAAACTTTGTTTTTTTTTTTTTTCTTAATGTATAAATCATTTGAGAACTATCTAGAATATTCGATGAGCAATGATTATTAATATTTGTTTATTGTAGGACAAAAAAAAAAAATCAAATGACAAGTTTTATAAACTTCTTGACATCATTGAAAAAAAAATGTATTGCCATCATCAATGAAGATCTACAATGACTTTTGTTTTTATATGGTATCTTGTTAATTTACAAGTTTTCATTCTCGTAATAAATTTACTATACTTTTTGAATTATTAGACCGCAAACAATATAATTTCTTTTTTTTAATTTATATGTACATAATATTATTGTATATTTTTATTACAGACGATTAAATGTGTCTAAAAGATTTGAATATTAAATAGAATTTATTCTAAAATAAATTATAATAAGAAACTAAAGTTTATGAAAAATTCAAAAATTTCGAAATTTTGAATTTTTCATAAACATTCAATATTTTTTCTTAAATATATTATTAAAAATATCTATGTATATACATATATTATCAAGCTCATGTGAAATTTAACAGTTTACAGTGACATATTTTAAGAGCAATGACACAAAAAAAAATTTGAATTGACAAAATTAATAATATTTATTTTATATCAATAATAAGTGTAGTGGTTAACACTATTTTAAGAAATATATTATTTCTTTTTTTCTTATTTAGATTAATTGCAATAATATATTCATAATTATTAGTTTGTAAAATAAATTATATTTATTCTTCTTCATTTTTTTTCTTTTGAATAATCATAATAACAATTTCATTAGTATTTTGAAAACTAAATTATATTCTCTTTTGTTTAGATATTAATAGCAACTATAATTTCAACGGTAGATAAGATTGAAAAGAAGAAGAAAAAAAAAATCATATATTTCTATTTACGGGTTAGAACAAAGTAATATTCATTTCCCCGTTCTTTTATTTTTATGAGAAGCTCATGCGAATAAAGAAATAAACCAACGTCATATACAAAAGTTTATTATAGGTGTAATTTTCATATTAGCTGCTTAAGGAAATCCCTTGAATATCTAGGGTATCTATGTCATAATTTATTGAGAAGTTCATTAAAGAATCCTAGAATTTTTTGTTTTTGTTTCTTTTTTTTTTCTATGAAATATTGTCTAGAAATTATTCGAACAATCATTATTGATATAATACATAAAATGTTTGTTTCATTTTTATTATACTTAATTTTATAAGTTAATAACAATTAGGTGTAACATTTTCTGTATATATATTATTATTAGTATTTATTCTTTTATAAATAGTGTATTTTATTGTAGATTTTTCAAGTAAATTTAAGAGATAAGAATTATCTGAAGTTATTTATTGTACTTGTCAAGAGATTATAAATAATAAATCAATTAATTGAGAACAATGATAAATATGTAAACAATTGAATTCACTTTTTTTTTATAAATCTTAAGTCAATTAATCAGATGATGACAGGTACACTCTCAAACTTGACATCTATTATGAGATTAATATGACATATAGATGAATTTAAGATAATTATACTTTGTCTGTCTTTGATATTGAATGTAATCTGTTAAGATTATCATCTTTCATCATTTTCAAGTTAGATTATATGTCAGTAGTTCTATGATGTTTCATATTTTAATTCATATAATGATTACGATAACAATTTTTTTTCTTATATAAAAATGTACTATTGTTTTCAAAATACTTATGAGAAAATAAATCAATGGATTGTTATTCTATTTATCAAATGATTAAGCACAAGTATAAAATTTAGTATATTAGTTCAAGTTTTGAATTGCAAGATTTTACTAATTGAATATTTGTTTACATTTTGTTTTTTTTTTATCTAAAAGCAAATTAAAAATTGATATTATTGCGCAGATTTATCATAATTCAAACATATGTACTCTATATTCTTTTGAATAAAAAAAAAAAACTAGTTTTAATTGTTTATATTGGGCTTGATTAAACAACAACAACAAAAAGAAAAACCAAGATTCATATTTTCATCACTTTTTGTCATCAATCAAAGCAAGAACAAATACAGTACGACTTGGTGTATAAACCTAAGATAAGAAAAATCAATTCTATTAAAAAAAAGACAAATATTCATTTGAATTTACTCTAAATGAAAATGGTCTGTCATCCCATTTGATATTCTCCGTTGAAAATATTTGTTCATTATTAATTCTTTCATGACCATCAAATAATTTTGCATCTGAATTAAGTACAATTCGATATCTAGAAAATAATAATTTTATAATTATTATCAAAGAAAATAAATAAATAAATAAATAATTAATTATTTTACTTTCCACTTTGACTACATCCAATACGATAATCAGTCAAACTATTGTATCCATGAAAATTAAATATAAATATTAAACCTCGATCACCACGTTCAAATACTATAACTTTATCAGCTTCAATTTGTCGAATAATTAACTAAAAATTTTAATAATTATTCATAGATATTATATAATAACTATTACATCCGATATCTCAAGTTAAAAATTGTTATACTCTACAGAGTATTCAAGTAATATATATTCACTTTCATAGCCTAAGTATTATTTTCAAGAGTAATCATATCTTTACTCTCATATGAAATACACATTCCCTAATGTTGAGGAATGGATAGCAGTGCGCATAAATAGAAAAGTAGCATCCCATTCTCTCTCCCTAAAAGAACATATACCAAAAATAACTTAAGTTTTTCAACTCTAAGGATTTTTAGTTATACTACAAAGTGTTGAAGAAATTACTCTTGCAAGTAATAGTTGTAAGATAGAAATGAATATGCTGCACTTTAGCGTAATGTGTTTTATAAGTAGAGGTGTAAGCCGAATGATCAAAAAGTAACGGCGGCTTTGATGGTCACATTTTTTTCCGTAGCGGTAGCGCCTACTAGACTTTATGTTTTTCTGAACTCGCGGCGGCTGCTCTACTTTATGTTTTTTTGCATCGGCGGCGGCGCCTTAGACTACTATCAAAAACTTTCGTTTGTGGCAGCAGCGCAGCAGTTGAATTTGCTTTTTCATAGTGGCGGCTTCTGAAAAATTCTTAAAATTTATCTACAATTCCATGGCGATAGTGGCCCAGTTGCACGGCTTACATCTCTGTTTGTATATATATATTGGGTGTAATAATATTTAAAAATTTGTTTGTTTTACCGTATTTTTTGCTGATAACCATTTATATTCTTCTTCTAAATCATTCATTGCTTTATCCCATGCATTAAGATATTTATATCTTAAATTTTCATCATTAGATAAATAAAAAAGACGACGAGCATATTTATAACTTTCATTATTTCCTTCTCGAGGAAAATCAAGCCATTCAGGATGACCAAATTCATTACCTATATAGAAAATTTTTATAAAACCTGTTTTGTTTTTTAATTTACCTTCGAAATTTAACCAACTTTCTCCACCTAATGCATATGTCAATAAACGAATCATTTTATGTAAAGCTAAACCACGATCAATAGTAGCTGTTCGTTCACTAAATATTGACATATGACTATAAATTTGTTCATTAAATAACCATTGTGCAATAGTTTTATCACCAACAATTGCTTGATCATGACTTTCAGCATAGGCTATATTTTTTTCTGATGATCGACGATTCATTAATGTCCATGTTATATTACCTATATGCCAATCTTCATCTTTTTTTTCTTTTAATAACTTACAAAATTGAAAAAAATTTATATATTATTATCTTAATATAATAATAACAAACTTTAATCCAAATATCTGGAATAGCCATAGCTAAACGATAATCAAAACCAGCACCACCTTCAGCAAGTGGACGACATAATGTTGGCATACCTGATACATCCTATAAAATAATATTTATAGATAAATTTTTTTTTTGTTTTGTTTTTTGAATAATTATAAAAATACTTCAGCAATTCTTATTGATTCTGGAAAAAATTTTTCACAAACATAATTAGCTAATTGAAGATAATTAAATGAATCAGTATCAGTTGCTAAACCAAAATATTCATCATATGAACTAGAAAAATGATGCCCTAGAAAAAAAAAAGATAATTATTTTTTTGAAAAATCAATCAAATTAACAAATCTACCAATGCCATGTGAATGATAAAGCATTGATGAAACACCATCAAATCGAAAACCATCAAATTTAAATTCTTCTAACCAATATCGAATATTTGAAAGAAGAAATCTCATTACTTCACGTCTAGTTTAAAAGAAAAAAGAAAACATAGTGGTAAAATAATGAAAATTACAACATTTTTCTGTGTATAATTTTTAATCTTTACATAATTCAGGAAGACATTCAGCAAATGATTTTTGATTTACATTACAATAAAAATTCTCTATGTGAGCAACATAATGATAAACAATCATAGGACATACACAGACAAAAACGATAGACTAGCTGTAAATCTTTAAAAAAAAACAATACCCAGGTCAATGATTCTGGTGAACGGATTCCGCAGGAAAATGCGGGAAAACGCACCGTATCCTGCAGAAAATCGCGGGAACATGGAAGCAGTATTCCGGCCGGAAATTTTTCGGATTTTTTCCGGTGATTTCCGGCCGGTTCCTGCTGGAAAGCACAGGAAGTTGGTCGGAATCTACCGGAAAAAATCCGAAAAATTTCCGGCGGGAATACTGCTCCCATGTTCCCGCGATTTCCGACGGTTTCCCGCCGTACGTCTTTGACCTGGATATGAGACAACAGCAATAGTAATTGATTTAATATTTCGTCGTTTTTATGCTAATATCAAGTAACATTGAATCATGTCGACATGTGTTGACTTAACTGAAAACCTCCTAATAATGAGTAGCTTTATAAATTGAGAGCACTTTTTAGTCAATCTCAATGTTGCCCATTTTAGAGAGGTTTTAGTATGTAATAGAGCTGTCTATGGCGGCATGGGAGAGATTTTTTTAATGGCATCGCGGCAGTTTCTTTTCGGAAGAAACTTCAAAAATTCATGAATTAAAATAGAATCTTGACGTTAATGTATGCCATACCGTAAGACTTCATGAATGTGATCAATTAGCAGTAGCAGTTCTAGTTAGCATCAGTCACAGTCTGGAAAATCAAAGCATTTTTTTTTGAAAACCATCGCGGCGGTGCGGCAGATTCTCAACCGCGATGGACATCTCTGGCATATAACACATTCACTTGATCTCGTATCTGAACTTATAGTTTTATGACTAAAAAAAAAGATCTAAGACTATGTTTTAAAACATTTTAACTACCCAAGTTAGGATAGGCTCGTGTTTTGAATCGATTCAATCTCTGCTATCTACATAAGTAATAATAAACGAATATTTAAGTACTTGTCTCAATTCGATGAATTATGATCATTGATATCTTCTAAATTTCAATAGGTATTATCTATTCTTTCTTTAATGTAATACATTAGAGTCTTGTATAAGATATATATATAAACTTACTCAAGATAATTAAAACATCGACTATCCCAAAGTGTATGAAAACCACGTGTATTATCATGAAAGAAACAACCAGCTGTACCATCAAACATATTAAGTCCATCAACTATATTTTTCGAACTATGACTATGTACAAGATCAAGTAATACAGTTAAATTATATTTATGTGCTTCATCAATTAATGCTTTTAATTCTTCAGGTGTACCAAAACGACTAGAATATAAAATAACTTTATGAAAAAAAAAAAAAAAAAAAAAAAAAAAAAAAATAATAAAAACAAAAAGAAAAAACCTTGATGCAGCAAAATAATTTGTTACTTGATAACCAAAACTAGCATAATAAGGATGTTCTAAGATAGCCATTAATTGAATTGTATTATAACCTATATTATTTTAAAATTTATTATAGAAAATTTTCTTATATAATTAATATATAAAAACCTTGTTTAATAATATGAGGAATAATATTAATACGAAAATTTTCATAACTAGCAATTTCTTCTTTTGATGAACTAATACCAATATGAGCTTCATAAATTTTTAATCGATCACGTTTTTTAGGTTGAGTATATTTAAATTTATAAATTTGTTCATATGATGGATTATAAAATACATCATGATATACAGTTGCTTTTTCTTTTCGTTGTACATAACGTGACCATGGACAAATACGATCGACTAATTCACCATTAGCAATTTCAAGAAGTAACTAGATTAAAAATTAGATTTTTATGAAATTATATATATGAAGAAATAGAGTTGTATCATGAGTGTATAGTTTTTAATTTTTTTCGATCATGTTTAATACAGAAAATTAAAAAGAAAATATATTAAACTAGGCGAATTCAATCACGACAATTCAATTTTGCTCATATGAGTTTATTTTTAAATTTCTTACATAAAATACATTCGGAAAAACTACAAATCATATATTTGTAATTTGTCCTTATGAGTTCTATTCATTTATATATCATTCAACGAAATCTAATCATCAGCAACACTTTACTTTAATTGCTTGTCCATGTTTAATTGCTACAGATCCATCGGGTAATGGTGGAATTGTAACACGCCATACACCCCATTGATCACGTGTAAATGGATATTGTTTTTCTTGCCAATTATCTATATAAAATTAATTATATTTATTTTATGAATAAAAAAAACGTTATATTTTAAATACAAACTAAAATCTCCACGAATATACATAGCTTTTGCTCCAGGTGCCCATTCTTTAATATTTATTTCATTTGTTTGATAATTAATATGAATACCAAAATGTTTATAAGCTGTTGTAAAATTATCAATACCTTGTTCTTCAATTTCTAATTGTTTAAGAATTTTTTGAAATACATAATAACTAAAACAAAAAAAACAAGACCATAAATAATAATTGATTTTCTTTTTTTGTAATAGATTTTTACCGTCGTCGAATTTCATCTTGATATCCTTCAAGATATGGATCAAGTTTAAGTAAATTATGTAATTCAGGTACTACAATATTTGCAGCTTCACCTGTTGTTGGTTGTAATAGTCTAAAATATAATGAATAATATTAATAAAAATTTATTTTTTTGTTTAAATTAACCTTTGTAAATTAATTACTCCAGAAAACATTATTGAATAATAAAGATATAGAAAATATGTATAGATGAAATTTTTATTTATATACTATTACATTATCATTTGATCAGTATTGACCGTTTGGTATATAATATAGAACGAACAACAGAACAGAAAAAAGTTTATTATTTACATTGGTTATAGTACTTGTTATTTATAGACACTGCTAGACGAAAGAGGTCGACTTATGCTGAATTTTCATCTTTCTATATGTATGAAAGGTAGCAAAGAATGATATCAATGATTCTATTGTATAAAAGAAAATTATTATATTCAGTATGTCTATTATCATTCTTAAATAATCGATTCAATAAATTATTATAACAAAATTTTATTCAAAATATAATATGAAGAAAAAAATTGAAAACAATACCGATGATTTATTTTAAATTAAATTAAACTTTTGTATTTGATGATAGTCATACTCAATAATATACATATTCTCGTTTGTCAATTAAATAATAAAAGTTCTTCAATTTATGAGTCAAAACTATGTACATTATGTAGATCCTTAAAAGTTACAAATATTCTAAAGCATTCAAACTTTTAGTGTATTGATAATACTTTCAAAACTTAATACCATGATTTATCTTCAGAGCTCAAGAAAAACTGTTTTTCAAATTTCTACTTGAAATTTTACATAAAGATAGATATTGCCAAGAATAGTTTATTGTAAAAGTTTCAGATCTTTGATTTTCGCTTATCCTGAGAAAACAATATCGAATCTGCCGGCATATATAAATGATGTCTTAGGATAACATAAAAATGCAACATCTTACCATGTTGTACGTTTGTTCACACTACTCATAGGTATAATTGATAGTAAATTGCCGGTTTGAATTACACGAGTTTTCTAGTAACATGGTGCTTTATATTAAATTGAGTTTCCATATTTGTCATATTTATGAACAGTATAATATTAAAAGAAATTTATTGAAAGAGCTTATTTATAGTTTATTATAAATTTCTCGTTCTTAACGAATTGTTTATCATAGCAAATAGAAACTTGAATCGTAGAGCATACGAAAACGTCTACTTGAAGAATTGATTGTAGACAATAATGTGGATTTTATTACTACGCATAGTTTATTACGATGAAAAAGATCTTAACAAATATCCTTATATAATGATATCATTGATTATCAACTATACTACTTTAATTTATGTTGCTATCAACATAAACGCATAGCTAAAAACAAAAACTCTCTTCGATTAACTGTAAATTATACTTGACCTTAGGTCGAATTAACAGTAACTCATGTTGTCATATACTGATGAATGTATCAAATGATTGTGTTTTAGATTAATAGATATGTTCTTATAAGTGCATAATCTATTTAAATTACTTTTATACTTCTAAGTAGACCCCGTCGGGTAGGACCCGGACCCGGACCCTACCCGGACCCTACCCGGACCCGCACGGCTCCGGGTCCGGGTCCGGGTCCAAAAATTTTACTTTGGCCGGGTCCGGGTCCGGGTCCAAAAATTTTATTTTGACCGGGTCCGGGTCCGGGTCCGGGTCTGAAAAGTTTGCTTTAACCGGATCTAGGTCTGAAGAAAACTTTGATCCATACAATTTATTTTGAATTTTTTTAAAGTTTTGTTCGTTTTATACAAAGAAGAGATCAAATGTATTTAGAAAATAGATAAAAAACAACAAAACCCTTCTTGACTATACTATCTAAACTGACTTGTCATTGTGTTTGGATCCAAAAAATTTAAGCGACCGGGTCCGGGTCCGGGTCCAGCAACCTGTAAACGGGTCCGGGTCCGGATCCGGGTAGAAAAATTTTAAATGATCGGGTCCGGGTCCGGGTCCAAAATCCTGGGCCAGGGTCCGGGTCCGGGTCCGGGTCCAAAAATTCTGGACCCGACGGGCTCTACTTCTAAGTCAATAAAAATAGATTTTAATTTCATTAATCATAAATAACTATTCGATCATTTTATTCAAATAAAGATAAAGAACATACGACAACAAAACAAAAAAAATTCCTTAGAATAATGCAGAAGAATAAAGACCAAGTCACAAATATACATCAAGATAAACAAAAAAAGACAAAAAAAAACTTTAATTTTCTCTAAATATTCTTTCTTTTTATTTCATTTGCTCAGTCAACATTTATACAATGTACTTAAAGCACAAGAAAAACTCGTTTTTTAAAGAAAATATATGCAATTATAATCCAAAAAATACAACCCCATAAAGCCATAGCAAGATGTGCTGCATGTGTATTAACAACAATCCATTGAACAGGAAAATATGTAGCAAAAACAATATGTGCTATATAAATAAGAATTGAATTCGTTCCAGGATATTGAAATGGTGTTGCATTCCAACATTTTAATTTATCAATAAGAATATACATTATTGAAAATCCAAGAAATGCTAAACCAGCTAGAAAACAACAAAACAAAAAACATTGTATAATATTTAGAAAGAGCAAAAAAAAAAGAAGAATCTTTTTTACCAGTAAAAAATGAAAATGATAATGTCCAAAGATTTTTATTTAATGGCATTGGTCCACCAATAAATGTACCTGAAGTAAGACCAACTCCAATAGCTATTGTAAAAACACCCCAAGCAAAAAGACGTATAAGTCGATCAAGATCTGATTGATACATAACTAAAAATATAAAGATTATGAATAAAATTTAGAAATACAACAAAAAAAGAAAATATTCAAACCAAGTATTCGTCCAGCTTGAACACCTAAATAAGCTAAAAATATAGTTGGAATAACACCAAGTAAATTTTCTGAATCAAATGGTAATTTACAACCTAAATAAATATATTATATATATATATGTTTTTTTTTCAAATATTCAAAAATTTTTCTACCATAAACAAGTTGACATGTTGGATATTGATAAAGATGTTTATTAGTAAATATCATTCGATCAATATAACCTGTTATACCACCAGTACAATTTTCATATTTACCATTTTCATGTAAACCACCTAAGAAATAAAAAAAGAAATATTTTCATACCATTGATCAAAATCCATTATCTCTTTTATTTCGTCACTATGACTGAACTAATTAATTGTTTTTGAGTGTAAACTATTTACATTGTGTAGACTCGAATGAATATCTAAAAAGGAGTCGGAGCTTTTCACTTATTTTTTGCCGAGATATGGAAGTATTAATATGTCTATTTTCTGAACCTTAGGTTTTTTAAACTATTCTAGTTGAGTTTTCTATATGCACAAAGTTTCAGATCAAAATATGAGTTTTTCGTAAACATAGAACTTCTAGAAAATAGACATTTTAAAAATTCGATATCTTAATCAAATATCATTAGGAATCTCAATGCCTTTTCGGATTTTTATGAGAGCACTGTGTGTGGTATCTATAGACAAAAGAAAAATCATTAAAATCGAAATGAGACAGCTGAAAAGATTCTCTCGTAAGCGGAAATTCGTAAACAAATTTTCCTAGTTATTCTCGAGGAACACTATGGTATTGACTTAAAAATATAGCAGCAATAACATACGTGCTTGAACTTTCTTCAAGGCATTAATAGCTCATTAAGATTTACATGACGTACACAGTCCTAACTTAAAAAATGATTAATCAATTGAAGATCTTCCCTTGTGAATGGCTACTTTGCTCGACATGTATTCACAAAGTACTGTGTACAAATCCCAATATCCCTAGTCCATAGAATGATCACGGACAAGTGTGTAACGGTTGTTTTTTGTTTTCGAATCATCCGCCCAATAGTATTTCTACTATGCTATGACAAACGCTCGCACTTGTGATTAGTTACTGTGTATGAGAAACACAAGAATCCTGCATCAGGCTGAACTTTTAATCAAAACTATAGTTAGACACTAGTTGTAGACAGGATATCGGGTTATAGAATCTGCCGCTAGGCGACTCCTCATACTGCAACGTAGGGGCATTCTTCCTTCTTAGTTTTTTGATTTAACTCATATTACACTACGATGTGAATATTTACAGATTTGATAGAATAATATAATTACGAAATTTTGTTGGTTTCTTAATAGATAGTTTCGAATAATTATAAGTTTTTCTCGTTACATTTCTTAACAATTATAACACTAAAAATTTATATTTACCAGGACCCAAATAACCAGCTGGACAATCTTCAAATGGAACTAAATATACAACAAGTACCCATATAGTAGTTAAACCAATAATTAATAACCATTGAAGAGGAAAATTTGATATATCTCGAAAAACAGCTGTTACACGTTTTGTTCTTCCACTTTTAACTGTTGTTGCTGTCATTGTTGATGTATGTTTTGTATTATTATTATTATTAAAACTCGCTGTTAATGAATATTGTTTTGATCTTGTACAAAGTACTTCAAGTATACCAATAACACCATAAACTAAAGCAAAACGTTGTAAAACACCAAGTATTCGAACATTATTTAAATCAATTTTAAAACGTGTATTAAGAATAAAACCAATAATCTAAAAAAAAATATCAATAGAAAATTTTTTTTGTATTTCTTTTATTTTTTGAAAAAAAATTACTTAATTATAAATACATACAAATAATTTTAAAGTACGCATTGCAACTTTAATAAGTAATGTTCGTTTTGATACACTTTTATCAAGAGCATTTTTTAATGAAAATATTAATGATGCTCCTAATATCCAAATAAATAATGGAAAAACAATATCAGCAAATGTTATTCCATGCCATGATGAATGTTCAAATTGTGCATAACCACCACCACCATAATTAATAAATATCATTGCAATTAAAGCTATTAATAAATACACAAAAAAAAAAAAAAATATTATAATTTATAAAAATAAAAAAAAAAATGATTACCAAAACCACGAAATGCATCAAGACTAAGTAAACGTTTTGATCTTGGTACAATAATATGTGATAATTTATGTATTGTTGGTAATTTCATACTATTTGTATTACATTCAATAGTATTTATTGTATCAATTGTTGATTGACATATTGTTGTTGTTTGTGGACATGTTTGTAAATCATATGAATGTGTACAATCTTGTTTTGGTGTATGATTAAAACAATTATTTTTTAAATTAATTATATATTCACGTAATTTCATACGTTGTGCAAATAAACAAAATATAAATAATGTTAATAATATAACAATACTAACAATTAATGGTGTATAAATATTATTTGCTAAACGATTTGTTGTTAATAAACATTTAAGACCATAATCTGTACTTGTATTTGTTAATAAAATATTTGATATTTGAATATTAAGAGTATATTGACCATGTTCATATAGAATAAGATTTTCAAGACATGATGATATATTATTTAATTCAATACGAATATGATAAGTATATTTTGTATTTAATGTAAGATTAAGTATTTGATTTGATGATAAATCTTGTGCAATTATTTCATATGGACAATCAAGACATTCAATAACTTGAACATATACTGTTAAATTACCTGAAATCTATATTAAAAAAAAAAAAAAATTTTTTTTCTATAAAATTTTATAGAAATTTTTAATTATGATGTCTAGAAATGTATAAATTTGGAACTATAAGAAAAAAAAAGTTTTTTAATTGAAACGCTATTATTCGATTTGATAGTACATACTATGTCATGAACTAAAGTTCGTGTACAATGGTTAAAAGTTTAAAGAACAAATGTGAAGAGATTCGTTCTTTTTGGAATTTTTTTATACTTCATTTGAATCTATTTTTCTATCATAGAGTTCGAATTTATACAACGATTGAAACAATTCTCTCATTAGTTATATATATAATACAAAGGAGGATGAAGTTTTTTTTTCTTTGAATATAATGGAATGATTGAAAAGGTTTTTAGAAACGATATTAGTTAAATTTTTGATACACTCGAAAGTATTTCCGACTAATCAAAAGCTATGAGTATGGATTTAGAAATTTTATTTGAACTTGAACGGGAAACTTGTTTTTTTTATTATTGCGATTCAAAACTAATAGTTGAAATCTTTATTTATTGTAAATTACAAACTACTTGGCAATATACACTTCTTGAATTTTTTGACAAGATATCGAGATTTTCGTTTTTTTTTTTTCTAAATAATCATTTTAAAAGAAAAAACGACAATTGTAAAGATCTTTTGAGAAAACGCCTGTAATCTTACTTAGAATAAAAGTTAAAATCTAGGTGAATAACAGTGTTCGCTGTGCCAAACAATTGACTTCAACAATTTTTGGCATTTTAGAAAACGTCACCTATGCGATGGGCAAAATTTGTTGGTTTATCATCAAGATTAATTTTTCAAAAAGTTCTGGACTAATCTCAAATAAAAACTTCTAAACTCATATTAGAAAAAAGAAAAGGTATAAATTCATAGCTTTAGTCAAAAATATTTTCTATTGAATCAAAAATGAAATATATACATCTTGTCTATAAACTTTTCTGTTGTTCATGACATTATTTTCATATTCTTACTTGATTATCAACAATAATATCAACAGCTGCTTGATCAATACCCAATGGAATAGTATTAGTATTATTAACATTAATTGTATTTGATAATGTTCTTGTTACAAGTCGATCTTCTCCATTATTAATAATTAATTGTCTACGAAATGGAATTAAACTACTTTGATTACTAATATTTGTTGTTAATGATGATGATGATGAACGAATAGTAGCCGAAAAACTTGTTCGATATATATCTTTTATTTCATTATTTAATGGACATTGTTGATATAATATTCGACGATCATAATGAGTAGAATCCATTGATGTACTACCAACTTCATGACCAATATGTATAGATATTGATAATTGAAAAAGAAATAATTGTATAATTGAAATAAAATAGAATTTTTTATACATGATGTTTAGTATATATAAACTTTAACTTGTTAAATTCATAATGTTCAGACTCGATCAACTATCGTTATTGTAAGCATATGCCTATATGATCTTCATTTACTTCTGTTGTTCTCATTAGATAACGAAAAAAAAAAAAAAGTTTCGTTCGAAGCGAACATAGAATAAATCCTAAAACAAACATCTTTTCGTTTTTCTCTCTCTCTTGGTTTTCTTTTTAGTGTTTATCGATAAGTATTAATGTATATGACTTCTTCGGTTTTTTTTTTTATATTAATAAACAAAAAAAAAAAAGGATCTTATATTAATTAGATATTTAAAAAAGAAATACGAAAACGTGCTTATATTCAATGTCTTTGACATTATTTAAAAAAGAAAGAAAAATTTCTTATAATTAATGATTGTACATTAAGATATTATGAAAGATTGACTTGAGATATGTTTACAATCAAACATAGACTTATGTTGATCGATCGCTTCTAATTGGGGGATAGTAGTCAATTGACAAAATGTCTATTGTCAATCTAAATAAATATTAAACATGTTTTTTATGTATTTCATCATGAAATTTTATTTATTTTTTTTGTTTTTATTATAATTTTTTTACTAAAATAACTTCTAACATATGATTATCTTTTAAACGTTCAATATCACGATCATTTCGTATACGAACACAAGGTAAACGACGTAATTTATCAATATGATTAATATTAAGTTCATGACATATGTTAGATAATAGACGTTGAAATGAACCATTATTTGGTGTTTTATTAAAATCAAATTCAATAAAATCAGTTTCAGATGGATCATCAGCTATACGACAAAGAAGAGTTATTGTTTGATTATTAATAGATGATAAATTTGTTATTGGTTGTGTTGAAATATGAGGAAATACGGGATGTCGAAGATAATTTGGAACTATAGGAAGAGTTGTATTGTTTGTTGATGAAGGTGAAATACTATCTAAATTATTAAAAGAATTTTCAATTGAACTAATCATAATATGAATATCATAGTAGAACGAAGTTTTATTTATTTAGAAAATAGACACTCATATTAGATTGAGTAGTGTCACATATCCAAGATTTTGGAGATGCCACCACATCTCCCGTGGGAGATGCCGCGTCTCCAGCGGGAGACACGACACCCACACTCGAGAGATATGGTCATTCACCACTGGAGATGTAAGATCTCCTTTAGATATGCGCATCCCCCACACCCACACCCGCATCTCTCACGCGAGATGCGGCATCTTCCGCGGGAGACGTGGTGGCATCTCCAAAATCTTGGATATGTGACACTGCTGATCAAATATAGATCATATTGACATAAATAAAATAAAAAAAGAAATCTGAATTAACGAATATTATTCGAGTTATATTATTTTGATGTTTAATGTCCTATTCATTAATTTTAGAATAGGCTGTATTCATACATACACTTTTTTTTTCAATTGAAGAAAGAACTTCATTTATTCGCTCTAATAGAGAAAAAAAACGAAGTTAAAACTCAAGAACAAAATGCAATGAATTGTTCTATGCAATAATTTACATTACTACTTTACATGTATTTGAATAAAGTGAACTTCTATTCCATAGGAGAATGTTTACAATAAAAAAACAAAGTTTAATCAGGTTCAATTTAATTCAAATCAAATAGATTTATTTAAATTAGCTAAACATAATAAATATCAATAGTTTTACATAAAATCTATATCTATTGAAACTCAAGGCATAGAAATCAGCTCAATTATATATACAATATGTACCAAAATTATTCAATGAATCTAAATAATGACTTGAACAACAAAAATAATTTTCAATATAAATGTAAGAAATAGATAGAAACTTCCGAACAGAGGTGGCGCGAGCGGGAGATTACCCCCGCCCCGGCTTTGAGAATTTTGGTTCAGATTTTTTCTTAATTTAGAGAGATTATTAAACAGTTTTCTCCAATTTTGGAAAAATATAATCGGACAAATTTTAGGCTACTTTCTCCGATTTTTGGGTACTCCCCCTGTTCTGACCTCTTCGCGCCGCTCCTGCTCCAGAAAACTAAATCTTGAGTTTTTCACTATTTCCTATATCGTAGAGTTATTTTTCTTTATGAAAATCATCTTCTCTATTCGATTATAAATATAATAAAAAAAAAAACTTCTACTTACTATCAGATGTTATTGGTTCTAAAATTTGTCGTAACGAATCATTATTACAAACATTTGCTGGAGTTGATTTATCATGAGCTTGAATATCTTTATTTGCTCCATGTTCAAGTAAATATTCTATGACTTGTTTATGATTTCGTCTAGCTGCCCAATGTAAAGCTGTCCTAGAACAAAAACAAAAAAATGTTATCATTCATTTTTTTAAAACAAATATTTTTCCCCACCATCCATTTATAGCATTTTGACTATTAATATTTAAATTGGGTTTATTTGTTAATAATATTTGAATTTGATATAGATCACCATTACATGCTAATTCACGTAATAATTCTTCGTCTATTCGTTTTGAATTCATTGTTTTTTGTTTTGTATTTAAAATCATCATTTATCTTTATTGGTTATCTTTATAGGTTCTCTTTGCTATAACCAATAAAATCTAATGCAAATACCTCTTTGAAATACAAATGACAGAATCAAAAAGAAATTCATAGCTCAGATGGAAGCAGATATTGAATAAAAAAAAAAAAAAAACTTTACGAAAAATTTTTATTCAATTTTTAAACTCAATCTGATTTAATCAGATGAATAAATATTAAAATTTTGTTTTTTTTTTTTTTTGTTTATTATTTTTATAATGTAAAAAAATATAAATATATAAATTAATACAAAATAGCAGTATCATCTCTTAATTGTGCTATATTTGCTTTATGTATTAAAGTTGTATTTGAATATTTATTTGTTTCTAGTAGATTTTCATTTATTCTCATAAATGATGGTGTTATTGAATGATTATAATCAAATGATAATTGATCATTTGTTTGACAATAATTTTGAGAATATCTTAAAAGATTAATTGGTTTTTGTTCTTGTTTTAAACATAGATTATGATTAAGTTCATTTAATATATGAAAATGTAAAGTATTTAATTGTTGATAAGATTGAATATCTGTAATTTGATTATGTATCGGTATAGATAGAGATGATGATGATGATGATGACATATATATAGATTCATTTGTTGGATTAGAACTAAATATGAAAAGATTTAGATATTTAATTGAAATGAAACAAAATAAAAATATATTGTAAATAAAATTCTTTTTGAAAATGTACACGTATGAAAATTACCTTATTCAAATTTCATTCAGAGAAGACCAAAAAGAAAGCAATACATTATCTAATAGAGAATTTAAAAATAATTTTATATCTTCGTTTGATATAGAATAACTCATATATTTGTTGCTTTTATTGAAAACGATATATAGAAGAAATTTACACATGATCGTATAACAATACCATTTCATGGAGTGACGCAGCCAGAATTTTAGACTGAGTTCCTTCTTAACTTAAAGTCTTCGCTTTTTTTTTGTGCCCACTGTATATTATCTATCTACTACTGAATACATTGTAGAATTCAAAAAAATGTCTTTAAATATTACAAAATCAAATTGAGGTAACAATCATAGTGAATCACGGTTTTTTTCGCAAACTAACTTTTTCATAAAAAAAAAAACTTGTAGGAACGTCTCCGGCCTAGTACATCGGATCCACTTGAAACCTTTTTTTTCTATTTTAATACTATATACTGTTCGGAGTGGGTATTTCTTTGAGAAACGGCGGAATTTATTAGAAGACAGTATCTAAAAACTTTGAATTCATGATAAATTTTGTTCTAATGATTCATTATTTATCTATAATTTCAAGTAATGTATATTATGAAAACTATTTTGCTAGGATAGTTTCAATATTTACGGATCAAAATGATTTGTTTTTATTATTGGTAATGTATCTTGACGATGCCACATATTAATTGTTGATAAAGAATCAAAAGAAAGTAATTTATCTAAATTTTTTACATTTTGATTAATTAAATGTGGTGTATTAAATGATAATGATATTGATGAATCATTTGTATTAAATTTTTGTTTTTTACTATTATATTTATTTATTAATATATTTTGTGAATGTTCATATGATTGTTGATGTGATATAAAAATATTCTTATCATAATTTATTATATTTGATTTACGACGATAAATAAACCAAATTATAAAACAAATAATTATAATAATTAATATAAAACCAATAATACTAAAAACTACAGCAATAATTATTTTATCACGTTCATCCATCATTTGATATTAATCGAAAGACATAAATTAAAAAAACAAAAAAAATCTAAAAATTGAAATTTTTATTTTACAAATAATATGTACATGTAATAAGTAGAGCTTTTTTATATGTGTTCTTATTCTTAAGTTGAACAAGAGTATAAAATACTCTAACATGAATAAAAGAAAAGGAGAAAAAATTATTTGAACTTAGTTTATGTATGAAAGTTTATTGTCGCAACACTTTTTTCTCTCTTCTATCCGTAGGCGTACATTTACAGAGACACTCTATAATATGTGTGTGTATGTTTTGTTATTTGAACAAATTCATCTAATTTTAATCTGTATGATGAGAAATATAAAAAAAAACGAAAGAAAGATTATCATGTAATATAAAACAATTGTATAATGAATAAAAGAAAAAAAAAAATTACAATATGTTTTTTAGTAATCCTATTAAATTGAACGAATATAATTCAAGACAACTAAAAATATGTATTAGTTATACATTCTTTTCCTTTTATATTTGTCTTCATAAAACAATTTCTTTATTTAAATTGACAAACCAGCATGGATTTATTCGAGCAATTTGTTTATTTATTTTCTCAATGCCTCTTTTTCTTCTTTCTCTTTTAAGTGAAAGAAATAACAAATACAATTGAAAGCAAACAATAAAAGAAGTATTGCTCATATAATGTCATCAATGTCCTCTGTATAAAAAAAAAAACTATCGAAGGTTAAAGCACTATATAAATCAAATAAAAATGAAGAGAGAAAAGAATCATTGAAGTTTTTTTTTTCTTTATCCAATAGTACGACAAATGTCTTAACAACATAAGATTGATAGCAAATATGTGTATATAAAAATGATTATATAGATATTAATAAATCATAATATTGAAATATCTAAACATTAATATATAATAGATATATTCATATTTAATACATTGATAAAATATTTGTTATTAATTCTAGTTACTTCGTGATAATCATGGCAATGATGACAATCATATAATCTGCATTTATATATCTTTTTCTTTGATTTGAAAAGATTTCTTAGTATTTTCTTTTTTTTTTTTACTTTGTTAATGAATAATTCATCTTAAATAAACAGAATCTATCTAAATTTTATTTGTCATTCAATCAGAATATTACTATTTTATTTATTTACTTTTGTCACATAAAATTCTATTCAGTTTAATATTTTTTTTTTCTTCATATTTTATCTATTAAATGTATTTGCTGTTTATCAAGAAAAAGAAAATCTCAAATGATTGTATAATCATTTTCCTTCAATATCCATTTTATTTCTTTTTTTTTTTCATTTTCAGTTTACTTTTTGAAATTTTTTATACGATTTTCAATTTGTTAATTATAACAAGCTAGACGTTTAGATATTTTTGTACTATATTTATATTTAATTATATCACGTACAGTATAACTTTCTGGTAGATAATCAATTGAATTATTAATTAAATTTGATCGTCGACAACATATCGAACCTATTTCAATAGACAATAGTATAGAACTTGAGAAAAATGAATATAGTTACAAATCAATTATATTTCGTGTACGCAATATAGTTGATGATAATGATGGATGTACTTTTAAATGATTGGTGCAAAATGTAGGTTGATAATCGAAAACTTAAAAATTATGAAGAATTTTCAGACAAATTGAAAATTGAAGAAGATGATTATCAGTACTAAAAGCAGTAACCATAGAAAATTTTGTACTAACTGAAGAAAAAAAAGAAACTAAAGAATTATGTTATATGTTTGTTGTTCGAACTTTTCAAATTATTCAAAAATTATTATTTACAGATGAGAGGAATTCTTAGAAAAATAAACATCTGTTGAACTTGATAGAGAAGTGTTGTTTTTAGTTTATAAACTAGAATAGTTTTACTCTTCGACATTGTTGAAAATGAGTTCGATTGACTTGAATCAAAATATAAAATCTATATATTGCTTATTAGAATTTGATAGTCATACGTAAACCGAGGAAGAAGAGAAACTTGTGAGACAAAAAAATACAAAACTATGCCGAACTGAAATGTAATCAAAATTTTGCAAAATTAATTTTATGTATGTTCTTTTTTCTATGTTACACATCTGCTTGTATGTAATATTAAGATTTAAGCCTTTACATATAATAATAGGATATATTTTTTTCTCTGTAAAATGATATCACTCTCGATATGTACTAGAGTTTCAGTTTAATTAAGTCTGTAAGTGATCGATCATATCTCGTTAGACTGAATTAATCGCTTGTCAACTTCTCAGTTAGAACTAGCATTTGACGAGTTAGTTGTCTTCTCTAGATACAAAACCATTCACCTTATATAGGGTGGGTCAAAAGTAACAAGACAAATAGTTTTTGCAACTTTTTTTCTTCTTCATACATCAACAGTTACATCTCATATCTAGATCACATATAATAGATGATACTAGTTAGAGATCTGACATATGATCAACCTCTGGGTGTAGTAGTTTGTTACAAAGTATATAAATATGTCTTACTTGCTCGTATGTCACCCTATGAGAAATTCGATTTCATCAGATTTTGAATTGCTTTAAATTAAAATAATACAAATTCAATCGAATAGAATTTGTTTCTCAGTTTGGGATAAGCAGATAAGAGTATGAAAATTGAATGTAACATCAAAAACATCGAATTTTTCATATAGACACGAAGAGCAATTAAGAAATATTTATATGCGTTGGAACAAATTACTACGACTACGCTTAGAGACTGATTATATGCCACATCTTTGGTTAGTATCACTTATTATATGTAGTCTAAATATGAGATATAACTGTCAATGTTTAAAGAAAAGAAATCGAAAAAAATTATTTGTCCTGTTACTTTTGGTCCAATCAGTAGATAAGTTTCGATTATTTATGAATATAAAAAAGATGAATTAATCTGACGTTTCATAATTCTTAATTATACTATGAGTAAGACTGATCTCACTGAAATCAACTATAGAACTCAATATAAAAACTAAACTGTAAGCCAACGCACTAACATAATTTTGTGTTATAATGATAAGCTTTCAGTTTTTAAGTTTCTTTTTTTTAAACTTAGACATTTAAACAAATTATGCATGCTAAAAGAATCAGTTAATTTATAGAAAATAGAAAATTGGAATTAATTTAATGAAACATAATCTAAAATATAAGAGGTCAGCTTTATTTACATAAATCTGGTAACAAAACAAAAAAAAATTAAATATAAGAAGCATCATGATCACTATTCATTATCTTTTACCGTAGTTTCAAACTTGAAATTCACCTTTTTATATTTGACATGTAGAGCTGGATAGCTTATTTTAATTTATTCTGTATTGGTACACTTTGATAAATGTCTGTCTTGATTAATTATTTATTCATTTTACTCTTCTTTTAAGAGTACCTATTCATATGTTTATTGCACTTGTAGCTATTTTTAAGTATTGAGAAACGAATAATCTATTATTTAAATATATGGAAATTACAAAAAACTGTCTGTCATTTTAAATAGAATCTCTAATATTCATGGTTATTAATTTAATATGATTGAAATATATTTAGTATCGTTATCTCTTGAAATCATTCACTTATTTCTCGAAAAAACAAAAGAGTTGTAAAAGTAAAGAATATAGCATTATGAATAAGAATAGCTACAGTCTCGAGACTACAAATATCGCACGAAATTGCAAACGGTATATGACAAAAACAAAGATATTTATTAAAGTTTTGTGCATTGAACATTTAAGACAATAGAAACCTGATATCAACATAAAATAACGAAAATGATATTTCCTCCACAGAAACAATGATGAACTTTATTTTCATGACGTTACAAACACTTTTTATGATTGACATTAACCAAAAACATTTATTAGTCCACGTGTTAAAAAATTCGAGTCCTTTCATAATCTTTAATCTCAAAAATGGTTTAGTTTAATTGATACCTTCATTATAGAAATCTTTTTATATGATCTTTCAGTACTATTCTTTAGTTAAGCAAATAATAATAATAAAAATAAGAGATGCCTTAAACAGCACGAAAAAAAACACACACACTTTACAAATCACTTCATGTCGACGATTTTCAACATCATTTTACGTATGATCAAACTGCGTAGCCCCCCCCTCCCCCCAATGGTATCCTCTCATTAAATTATATTTCACTTCATTTTTTAATTAATTTGAATTTTTTAGATTAAAAGCGATTGAAAGTGTCAAATTTTTGATTTTGAATTAAAGCCATTTTGTTTCAAGAATTAAAATTTGTAGAGTTCACTCTTATTTTCTATGTAATTTCTATATTTTCGTTTAGGAAAATGTAGAGTTTGCTTGATATATGCTTGCAGAGTTTCAATGTATTCAGCTCTTATTAGTAGAATGCGCTAAACTACGTAGTGCTCTTCTTCTTCTAAATTAAGTCTTATATTTAGAGTTTATTAGATCAAATTACCAATATAAATGTCATAAGCCTGTTTTTATAGTGGAACTCTATTTAGTTTCTATAATAACATAAGATCAACAATCCATGGAAAAGAAGCTAATTTGAACCTAAAAATATAATTATTCAACAACATAAACTGTGAAAAAAATGTAAACGGGACAAGATTTAGGTGTTGATATTCGAGTTATCTTCAGACAAATGTCCACTGAGGTCACACTTTGAATGGCTATTGAATCATCTTTGTGGAACATGAGCAAAACAATTCAAAATCTTCCTTCGATCTTCATTAAAGTGTCATTATTTTTCGTCCCTTGCTCGAGCTGTATTAGGGTTCGTTTTTCAATATGAGAATTAAGTAAATCACTTTCCTAAAAGCGTTCCTGATTAAGATTAAAATACATAGTACTTAAACGAAATCTATAATCTTGCTATGTTTCAGAAAAGGTTTTATAAAAAAATTTCACACGATCAACCTATTTCAGTGATCTAGTTTAAAATGCGACAAGATTTCATTGGCATTTTTTAAAGCAATTTATTCGACACTACGTCTCATTTATAAAATTATCTTTTTGGTGAAGTAGAAAAATTCATAATCAATCGAGACCTGATAAAATATTCTGAATCAAATCGCTTGAAATGTGAAACTAATTTTGTTTTGCTACAGAAGGTGTAGGTGTGAGTGTGGGGGGTGGGGGGTGGGGGTGTAGGAGTGGATGGGTGTGGGTGTGTGGTGTGGGTGTGGTATGGGTGTGGTGTGTGTGTGTGGGGTGTGGGTGTCAGTATGGGTGGGTGTGGGTGTGTGGGTGTGTGGGTGCGGTGTGGGTGTGTGGGTGCGGTGTGGGTGTGTGGGGTGTCAGTGTGGATGGGTGTGAGTGTGGTGTGAATGTGTGGGATGTGGGGGTGTGAGTGTCAGTGTGGATGGGTGTGGGTATGTGGGTGTGGTGTGGGTGTGTGGGTGTAGGTGGGGATGGGTGTGGGTGTGTGGATGGCTGTTCTTCTCGTTCACACACACACGTACACGCACACACACCCCACCCACACCCATCCTTGCCCATACCCACACCCCACACCCACACCCACACTCACACCCACCCACATCCACACACCCACACCCCACACCCACACACCCACACCCACACACCCACACCCAAAACTGAGTCATAGATCCATGCCTTAGTATGACCGAGTGAGGATTCTCGTCAGTCCACATAACGTTAAAACTGAGGCGATAACCTCCTAACTAAACAGCCATAAGTGAAAATGATGAAAAAAACTTCCTGCAAAAAAACATTGCGTCCGAATGCGAATGCAAAGCTTCTTGCCACATAAGAAGATGTAAGAGTATGGGTGGAGACCTTTGGTCTTGGGTGTGAGTGCGCTAACCTATTTACCCACACTCACACACGCGCCTTAAGACTAACAGGACGTCGCAACTAGATAGTCGATATCTATCGAACACTTTTTTGGTTCATAAGTAAAACAAAATCAGATTAATCAGGGTGGATGTGGGGAAATAGGTTAGCGCACCCACACCCACACCCCCACGACGATGATTACAGTTATCCATATTTTTCACCGTAACCTTGCCGTATATGGCCGTTTACGGTAAAATACAGCACGTACACGGACCATTTATCGCCATAATTCTGGCCATCGTAATACGGCACGGTATACGGTGTGCGTATGTGGCTGTGACTGTTGATGTGGATAAGGATGTGGGTTTTCTTTTTACCCACGTCGACACCCATGCACACCTCATACCCACATCCAATATTTAGAAGCATTCTCATTCAGAACAGTTCACAATTGTAGTTGTTGCTTGACGGCTTGAAAAGAAATGATACCTAAGAATTGAGAATTTTTCTTGATGGACAATCTTGATCAGCGTTAGGAGACATTGACACAAAAGTATTTGACTCTGAAGCTGTCATCTTCAAAACAGAAAAACAAAGACAAAATTGTAAATCAAATTTGACTTCTTTTTAAAGTCTTTTTTTGTTTTATTTAAATAAAACCGAAAAAAAAACATCACAATGCACAAGATTCAAAGATTTTTTTCAACTCAATAATTTTAGAAACAAGAACAAAAAACGGGCGATTAAATTATTCAACAAAATAACTAAAATGTTGCTAATTTCTTGTTCATTAAAACTGTGCCACGACTTGAATCGATTTGTAAAAGTTTATCTTTTTTCCCGAATTCTACAAGACACTGGAATGTTGTTGCCATATTTGTAATTTTTCTTGCATACAAGTTTCCATTTTCAAAAGTAAAATAAACGAAGTTATTACTTAATTTTAATAGTCCACTGTCATGTTGCCTTACACGTAGTTTTAATTGATCAATTGTATCACAATTGATTAGTGATGTAGATGTACGTCGCGAAAATAAATCCAAAACTGCCGATTCACCGTTCGACGTGGGTGTGGGTTCTCTATTCCTCCCCCCACCCCACCCCACGCCAAAAAGACAATAATTTAAAATAATGAACCCAAAAATTGCAGGGTGTCGGCGTGAGTAAAAAGAAAACCCACACCCTTCTTCACATCCATCCACATTAACAGCCACATACGCACACCGTATACCGTGCCGTATTACGATGACCAGGATTACGGCGATAAACTGTCCATGTACGTGCCGTATTTTACCGTAAACGGCCGTATACGACAAAGTTACGGTGAAAAATATGGGTAATTGTAATGATCTTCGTAGATCAGGATCAATAATTCCATGGATTGGTGATGAACCTATAAATAATAAGATATGATTGAACCTAGGGGTGGCACTTTAACTTTTCTTTAAGAGTTAAAGTTAAAGTTAAAGTAGGCACTTTAAAACTTTAACTTTCAAAAAATCGAAGTTAGAGGGACAAATAATTTTTTGTTCTTCATGTTCAATCCTCTATTGATTTTGACTGTAACTTTAACTTTAAAATCAAAGTTAAAGTGCCACTCCTAATTGTACTACCATCGCCATCTCTATCATCAACAGATTCATCTCTAATACTATCAACAAAAAAACCCAAATTATCAACTATTGAAAGAAAATTACGGAAAAAGTCAGAGTAAAACAACAGCATTAAAACAAACATTGCAAGACTTGCCATCCAAAAATACTAAAGAACATTCTTGACAATCAATAGTAGCTCGAACCAAATGAAATAAAAAGAGAAATACCTTCCGATGACTATATCGTTACAAGCATAATCTTCACAGCGTCCTTTATCATAGATTTACAATGTCAAGGATTAAAAAAATTCTTCATGAATTAAAAATTAATGTTATTTATATTAAACGTGATGGTAACGAAATAATAATTGGCGTCAAATATGCAATATTATGAAAACAATATCAAAAAGTTTATCAATCGACATATTTGATCGCGATCATTATTACCAACACGAACACATGATAAAGGATGTGGGTGTGGGTGCTCTTCTCCCCATCAAAAGTAACCCACATCCACACCCACACCCACACTCCTGTCGAAGACAGGTAACAAGTTAGAAAACTTCGTTATCCTCAATGGTTTTACCACGATTTAAGGCAACTAGTACTACTTTATAAGAAAAGTGCATAATATCTAGCATAAAAACTTTTGAGCCTTGGTCTATTTGAGATAAATCGTTTCTGGAATGACCAAGTACAAAGATTATCAGTATTATTCAACGATTGATGAAACTAATTAATTTTTTACATGATGTTATTTTAAGTGCGTTGTAGCCTTGTTTCTCTCTTTTTTTTCAATATAAATGTTTTTTAAAAAATGATTTATTTTATTTGGGTGGTAGGGAAAATTTTTGAAGAATTTCTCTTTGTTCGAGAGAAATTTCTCATTTTAGCAGCAGATCTTTACCTCTGTACATAACCTCTATTTTTTATTATTATAAATAACTCTTAAGTTAGAAAAATCATAAATTGATGTTTTTTTTTTCTATGAAATATTTTCTTACCAGCTGTTGGCCATTTAGCATTCATAATTGTTGTTCCAGGATGAAGAAATTGATAAACATAATCACATATATGTGGACAAATGGGCGATAATAAAATAGCTTGTATTTCAATAAATCGTTTAATTAAATGTAAATTCATTTGTTCAGATTTCGAACATAATTCTCGATAATTATCACGTGCTATTTGTAATTGAAAAAATCCATATTTAAGAACATCTTTATATAACATTTTTTCATAACTTTCTTCTGTTAATTGAATTGCACGATTGATTTCAGATTCAAATACATGGTCATAATAATTATATTTCGTATCTGTTTGATAATTTGTTTCTTGTTGTTTAGTAAATTCTCCATTTGCACTATCTGAACTAGTTGAAAGATGTAGTTTATCCTTAATCCAATTAATAACTGATGAAATCACTGTTGTATTATCTTCCGATGATTTTCTTCGTTCATTTTCTTCTTCGATATCTACTAAATTAATATCAAGCACTTCTTTAACCCATTCAATAAACGTATAAAGACGTAAAAGTTGTGCTTCAGCCATTTCTACTTCAAAATTTGCATCTTCAATTGAATCACCAGCATCAGCTAATGTAAAACGCATACCTAGCACATATATAAATAAAACGTTTACATGTTTTTGATATGTAATAGAGAAAAAACAAACCATCGGCGGAAAATTTTTCAATTGCTTGAGCTAATGTTAAAAAGTTGCCAGTTGATTTGGACATTTTTTCTGAATTTAATAATAAATGCCCATTAGCACGAAATGCTCGTGGCCATAATTCAGGATGATTAGGCCAAATAGCTGTATGATTATATATTGAATAAGTAAGATGATTTGGAATTAAATCTTTTCCACTTGACCGTAAATCTACTGGATACCAATACTGAAATTCATTACGAAGACGATCAAGTGTTGCACGAGGAATATCTGTTGTTGAAGATGGATAAGATTTTTCAGGAAAAAATATATAATCCCAAACTTCGATTGTTAATTGAGATGGAAGAATATTTGCTGGACCTACAAAAACAAAAAACGAAACAATCAAAGATACAAATTTATCTTGATTAATCTTTTTACCTAATTTTTCACCACTAAAAGCATCTCGTGCTTGTAAAAGATGAGCTACAGTATAATAAGTCATATAAATAGTTGAATCAGATAATGATTCAATTAAATATTGTTCATCCCAAGGTAATTTTGTACCAAGACCATATGAACGTGAACATGCATGTTCATGTAACCAAGTTAAAACAGCTTCAAATTGATGACGTGTTTCTGTATGATAAACATTCATTTTATCTAATGCACATTTAACTTTTTGTTTCCATTTTTCATTACCATAATCAAGAAACCATTGATCAACAAGTGCAACAACACATTCATCAATTGATTGTGAAATAACTTTACCTTCTGGTTCATAATAAACACATGCTTGTCCACTTGTAATTAAATCATCACGAACAAGTTTTTTAGCATCAGATACTTTTGTATTTGCATATTTACCTACTAAAAGTATTCCATCATAAAATGATTTTGTATAAATTTTTTCTTTTGCTTCTAATAATTTATCACGATCATTTTGTGATTGAATTTTCATTTGACTACAAATTGTAGGTGCTGCAAGACAACCATATGGTTCAAGTTCAATAATTGCTACTGGATCATATGGTAATACCATAGATTCTTTAATACTATATTTTTCTCGTAAATTAGACTTTTATCTAAAAAAAAATAAAAAACAAAAATTTTAAAATTAAAAGAAAAACAAAATTGAATAATCTATCTTTTACCTTATTTTTAATATCCATTAAAGCAGCATAATCATCTGGTGAATCACTTGGTACTGATGTAACAACACCTGTACCTTTATCTTCTTTAATTGTCATCATAGGTAATACATAAACTGTTTCATAATGTGAAAGTGGTGCATGTAATGGTAATCCAAATAATTCTGAACCAAAAAATTCAGCTAAGACAGCATATTGACCATAGACATTAGTAAATTCTTGATAAGCCATATTACGAGCGGCACGTCGTGTACATATAAGAATTTCATGTAAACGTGTTTCAAATGCTACATAATGAATATCTGGATGAAGCCAACAATTTGTTTGACCATATATTGTTTCAGGTCGAAGAGTAGCAGCAGCTAAATAAACAACAGTTGTTGATGATGTTACGTGAGGTTTTAATTTTTCTGGTATATGATTATCATCAATACGAAGTTTAATTAATGTATACTCTTGTGGACCGATACCTTCACCACAACTACGATCATGATCCATACATGGTTGATCATCTTTAGGTGAATAAATTGTGTATCTATACAAGAAATAAGCTACGTTTAATTTATACTAAAAGATTATTTTTACCGTTTGCCAAATTGAATTTTACCACCTTGCTTTAAATGATGAAATTGCCAACGAATAAATGAATCATAAAATGGATTAATATCAGTTGTAACAAACGAACGATGCCAATCAACCTATAAATATTATAAATGAGATTAACAGAAAGATACCCTATCTTGAAACAAAAATGAAAAATTGACTAAGATTTTACCTTTAAGCCCATCATTTCAAGATCTCGTTTAACATGAGGTGGAAAATAAGAAATCAAATATTGTGGATCAGCAAATCGTCGAATTTCTTCATCATCTTTGATTCCTAGACTACGCATTATTTGCCATTGATATTTTTCACCACCAATCTTAGCTACTGCTTTACTGTATTCGAATACGAGAAAAAAGAGGATCAAAATATTTTTATAATATTGTAAAAATGAGTGCCTTCTTACTCTTCGATTTATTATCGACTTTGTTACTTTCACTTTCTTTTCGTGTTATTACTTCTTCTTCTTCTTCAATTTCTTCCACTGCATTGGTAGGAAATTTCGGTGGAAAGCCAAATTCTTCTAATTCACGTCTTAATTTAACGGCAGCAGCCTGTACAATAAAGAACATTAAATAAAGATTATGTTTCTTAGAAAACTTACTCGAATAGGCATGCCTGTACAATGAAATCCAAATGGAAATAGACAATGTTTACCACGAAGACGTTGAAAACCAACAGCAAACTAAAAAAAACTCAAACATATTAATGAAAATATAAGTGAAAAGAAAAGTAGTAAAAGTGAAACCTCGCATTTGGATAATGAAAATGTGTGTCCCAAATGAAGACGACCATTCATATATGGATAGGGAAATGTTACCAAAAATGTATTCGAACTAGAATAAGGAGAACAATGATTTAAAAAGAAGAATTAAAATAAATAAATCTTACTTATTAGCAGGACGATCAGGTGCATCAACTTCAAATATTTTCAAATCAGCCCATAATTTTTGCATTTGTTTTTCAATATCACGAATAGCATCAAGTTTGACCGTCGAACGTTTCTCAGTTTTTGTTTCATTTGCATCTGTAGCAGATATTACCTTTGACGTTTCCATGTTTTAACTTTTGATTCTATTTGATTATCTACAAAATGTATGTGTACAACAGATATTGCGTAATTTTGAATAATAAATGGTGCTGATGAAAAATCCATTACAGCAGTCAATTGTGAAACGAACGAATGAACTGACTGATGAAATCAAGGAAAATAATGAAAAACAGTGGAAAATGAATCGAGACTACAAAAGAGTCGTAATGGTGGACCATTGGAATTGAGTTTTGGTAAAACACGGAGCCTCCATATTTTATCAACACATAATCAAGTTTCCGAATGGAAATCGGAAACAAAATGTTTTCTTATTCTTACACTTTGTTTAATTTAGCAAAATGTACGTTTATACTTAATTGTTGTAAGCAAAGGGTACCAAAGCGTAAAGATTGAAGTTTGTCGTATAATCTAGAAAAATAAACGTGCTCATTTTTATACCTGATAATATATCTAAAACAAATGCATAAGATTGAATGCACATGATTATTTCTTAATCTGACACGAGTAGGAACTAATGAATTGCAGAGTCAAACTTTTCACTACAAAAATTTTCAAGATGTAACTTCGTCTTCGAAAATTTTTTTACAAACTGTAGAGACGTCTTAAACATTCTGGTATTTAGGATTATGGCAACATGCATGAGTAGATGAATCAGTACAAAAACGAACAGATTTTATTAATATAGAATTTGTTTTCGTCGGACGATTTTTCAGAGATCACAGAAACAATGACTAAAAAAGTTTGACAAAAAATCGGAACTTCTCCGAGTCCGAAAAATCCAGTTTTGGCGACTTCGACTCCGCTGAAGTTTACTAGTAGGAACATATTTGAGAAAAAAAAGTACATATTAACATTTTACTGTAGCAAAAATACACCAAAAAGTGAATATTTTACTACTTGATAAAGTAATATTGGCTGTAATATGATAATATTATTTTCATGTGAATATAAGCCGCGTTCTGATTCTACTGAAGATGAAGACGAACTACGCTCTGTTACTGAAACTCCATTTTTACTAAGCAATGCAATCAATGTTACTTGAGTTTTACTCATCTGAAATAAAAAGAATAAAACGCATCATTATTGATGTAATAAAAAAATTGAACTAGCAAACAAACTATCTATGCATCCGTAAAACTTATACCCAAGTAAGCAAAAAATAAAGAAAGCCTGCCGACATGACTAGTCCGAAATGTCCGCAACACCCGTCACCTCTAGTCTGAAACGTCTTGAACATTCGTCATGACTAGTCATCTTTTGGAGAAATGTCCTTCAAATACGTCTGGACTAGTCCAGAATGTCCTTGAACCTGGTCATGTCTAGTCCATTGACTCCGTCCAGACTAGTTGGAAGACTAAAAATAGAAGATGAAGGGTGGGTTTGAACATCTAACCCGACAGTATTCGAAACGTGACGGGCATCTTGACGGCAGACTAGGACACTGAGATAAGCTGACGTCAGTTTATACAATCTAAATCACAGATTGATTCGCGTCCATCTACTAGACAACCAGAAACCAGTCGATGTCAAACGACTTTGACTAGTTTGAAACATCTTTAATAGTAGTCAGGACTAGTCTGTAGCATCTTCTGCACGCATAATGACTTGTCCTTTTTTAAAGAGTGTGTCACCCATCCACGTCCAGACTTGTCTGAAAAACTCTAAACAATCTACTTTCTTTGGACTAAATTGCGCTACTAATTTGTTTAAACTGATTAATAAGGGAAAGTAAAAGAAGTAGAAAAGTTTTTCAATGTCTGTATCATTTGTTGAAAATAATCGATGGATAATCAGATGTATTTAGAATACGGACTAGATATTAGAAGAACAATCATTTTATTGCCTGTCTTCTACTGAAACCTTCATAGATTGATGATTAAGCATGATGTGTTATATTATAATTTTGGAAATCAATGAGGTGCACTTGTTTTATATTAAAATTATGCCGACTGTCACCGATGTTGTTAATTTTTTTTCGAGCTAGAACGACAATTAGAGAGTCTGGCATAATCAAATAAGGTCAAAAATAGAGAGTATACTTTGTGCATTCCTGCCTTGATATACCTTATTATATTTTTATTTTCATATGTTGAAAATGTAAGAGTATATCGAAACATAAAAAGTAAGAGTAAATACAAAGAAAAATATTTATCTCACAGCGAGGAACGCTAATTTATATATCCTAAAATTATTAGATGTACTAACTTTAAAAAAAACTTAAAAATAATTGAAACCTTTTTTTATCATAACACCCTTAAATTAAGCAATACTAATTTAATTGTTAGTTGAAGATACGGTGATTTAAATTTAAAACTAAACTAAACCGTAATATGAAAAAGCGTAGTTTCTTTTCAGTATAAATAGTTTTTTACTTTTGTATTTAAAATTTATTTTTTTAACGCAACTAATTACTCCTAGTTGATAATAATCAAAAGATATTCCTCCAAAAATTTTGAAATTTATTTTGTTTAATGTTGTCTAAATAATCTCGTATTCTGTAAAAGATACTTTTTTATTCATATGAGAACAGCAGTGGACAACTTTTAGATCGGTGACAAAAATGCTTATTTTCAGCGGAAAAATGACGTTCACGTCAAAAATGGTCGTTGTCTTACGTACAAACAATTTCACTTGCGGTAACATGAAAACCCATGGGAAAAATGAAATGTGTATAGAGATTATGGTTTGTCGAAATGGAATAATGTTTATACCATTGGAAAAATTATTCTATTTTTTAATTAAATGCATGAGTTGTTAATGGAAAAATGAAAATTCATAAGTGATCATTTCCATAGGAATAATGTTTTAGAGAACTGGAAAAATGGTTATATGTTGGGGACGATGCTTTTCTCTTTTACCTATATATACATTTTCTCAGCGGAAAAATTATCACTTCCATAGGAATAATGATTTAGCATGATTGAATTATGTTTTTTTTAGAAAAATAATTCTATTTTATAGTTATATATAGAAGTTGTCAGCGAAAAAGCGAAAATTCGCAGGAAAAATGAAAATATCTGTAGGAATTATGATTCTAAAAAAAAGACATCATGCTAATGTATATAGAAAATACGATGAGTTTTCGGCGTGGGTTTAGTCAAGAAATATCATAATAGTAACATGTTGAAGCAGTTGTTGAGTGAACATATACGCATAAAAGTAATTCTAGACATCATTTTTCTAACGATCATCAAATTAGTCTATTTTTCTTTATACATTTTTCTCATAGCATTAGTCATTTTTCTTATTGATTTTCATTTTTCCCGCATATACTAGGTATCAATGAACATATGCGTATAAAAGTAATACTAGACATCATTTTTCTAATGCTTATGGAATTACTCCATTTTTCTTTATACATTTTTCTTATAGTATCATTCATTTTTCTTATTGATTTTCATTTTTCCCGCATATATTAGGTATGAGTGAACGGATACGTATTAAAGTATTCGAACATTTTTCCTAGTCATTTTTCCTATTGAAAACCACGTTTTCCCCATCGATTTTCATTCTTCCGCTGATAAAGTAGGTATGTAAGTAATTTTTAGCTGAAGTATTTTTCTCATGAGAAAAATTATTCGAACATTTTTCCTAGCAGTTTTTTCTATTGAAAATCAAATTTTCCCTATGAATTTTCATTTTCCCACTGATAATATTTGTATATAAACAAAGTTTAATTGGAGTATTTTTCTTATGGGAAAAATGATTGAAACATTTTTCCTAGCCATTTTTTCTATGGAAAATCACATTTTCCCTATGGATTTTCATTTTCCCGCTGATAAAGGCAGTAGTAGTGTTTAGTGGTAGAGCATTTTTGCCGTTAGTATCATTTTTCCGCTGAAAATAAGCATTTTTGTCATCGATGAATCGAATATCCAACCCTCTCATATGGCTCAATAGTCTAGACGATGGGTAAGTGATACATTGTATGCATGTTCGAATCTAACCTCCATCCTTACATGTTTCCATTTAGACTAGCCCAGATTCATTCACTACATAAGATTACAACTCGTCTTATGTACGCCCCTGACGTCCTTACTTTTTCAATTATAAATCATTTTTTTTACGGATGGCGTCCCTGTCACCCGTCCAGACTAGCCTTTGTCTCAAAAAGGCATCGTACAGGACTAGTCTGTGTATTAAATAGTAACTTTGTATATCAACCAACTCCAAAGCACTTCTAGACGAGTCTTTCTTTAAAAAAAGACTAGACTAGGCATACGCAATGATGCTCGTCAATCGTCTGGTCAAGACATGATTAATGACGCACAAAAATTTCGGACTAGACATATTTGAGGGTGTGGATGTGAGCAATGAGAAGGCTAACACTTCACACGCACACCGACCCTCATCCACGCCGTAAGAAAACGGTGTAGAATAAAACAATGTAACTTAAAAGCAGTAAATATAAACTTACTTATTTTATTAGTTAGAAGTATTTTAATATAAAGTCAGAAACAGACAATGGTGCACAAAAACTGTCTATAAAAAATTATCGACCTTGAACATAAAATAAAACTTACTATTCGATCAAGTAAAGATAAAAAGCACAATATTACGTAAACATGAACCTCAAGAAAATCAAGTAATTTTAGGAAAAGAATAATGAACAAAAGAATTATCTCAAGCCACTATGCTTACTCGATTGTTTTTAAAAGTATTATTTAAAAATATTTTTCGTGAAATACATTTTGAATATATTAACGCTCGTTGTGATTGTGGCTAGCTGGTCACATGTTCCATTTCTATAGCGAACAAGATGTATCAATATCTATTGAATTCAAGCCTCTAAAAAATAAGGCGTTTGAGTATCTACCACACTCCAGCGTAGAGGTGCACCAATTCCAATTTTAGACTTGGAATTGGTGCACCCCTACAAACACATTGTGTGTTTGGATTCTTAGGTCCGAAGCCGAAAACTGACATCCCTACACGAAGCTACAATTTATGTCCTGTCCTACTGTCAGCCAGGATGGAACAAGGCAGCCAGACAGGACAGAATAAAAAAAGTTGTTCTGCGCCCAGCTCTAGTGTATATAATTTTACAATACGTATACAAATTTTTAAATTTTAACATGTTATTTAAGTACAGGTTTCGCTATAAATATCATAGAAAAAAAATTGTACTTAAGTTTTGAATTTCCCCGCATCTTACCTCATTTCACTTGGAAATTAACTAATTTCTGATGGAAAAAAAATTCCTTCCTCTCATCATCTGAAACCAATCGAGAATGATTAAATAGTTTATCATTAATTTTCCTCTTTTTATAAATATATAATGTTCGAACTATAGCAAATAAAAAACAAAATAACAGACAATATGCATATACATGAGAATTGACTATAATCATTCAGAACAAAACAAAAAAAAGAACATATTTTCTATGTATCAAAAAGACCAAATATGCTTATTATCTGATACATAAAAGAGATATTCTTTCTTTCTTTCTTTTGTAAATAAAGGCAATAGGTGCAAAAAAAAAAACACTGTTTGTCAGTTATTATTTATCTTTTCGCTTTATATAGATTTTGTCTATGGAATAAAAATAAAAAACAAAATAAATGAAATAAAGAAAGAGAGAGAGAGAGAGAGAAGAAAAACAAATTATGTCAGTGATGTTTTTATTTCTTCCCTGAGATTGGAAAGAAAATGTGTTTCTGTGGATTTACCATCAATTAAAATATCACTTTGAGAATTCTAAATAAATAAAAATTATTTCGTTTGATTTTAATACCAAATCTCAAAATAGACATACTATGGATTTAAATAAAAGAACTATTGGCTGTCCAAGAATTGTTTCAGCGTATAAAGATGCAGCTGAATTAATTTTTTTGACAACTAAATTAAAAATTTGGATACAAAAAAAAAAATTTCAATTTATTTTCTAACCAGTTAATCGATAAAATTGACAAATTGTATTAATTATCGATAGAAAATCTTGATTAGATGATGGAATACGAAGTTGTGATTGACATATCAATGTACCGGAACTCATCAAATCAGCGAATATCATACTTTTCGAAAAAAAAATATATTCATGTTAAATAACCTAATAAAAAAAAACTATTCTTACGAATCAATAATCTTTCGTCGTAAATATTTTGAACAAGGTAAATTAAGTTTAAATTCAATTCTATCGGCTTCAATTGTATTTGATTTCTAAATATATTTGTCAAAAATGAAGATAACAAATATTTTTTTTAATTTTTTCAACATACATTTATAGAATAAGTTAATGTTATTTTTAGTTTTTGAGAAAATGATATAGCATTTATTAAAAAATAAATATGAATATAATTTTGTGAATGAGGAAAAAGACTTATAGATGGAAATAATATTAAATTTGCACTTGTTGTATTTAATAATTTCGAACTCATACTATCAATAACATGAATACGAATATGATCAATAATAAATGATGTTCGGCTTTTTAAAAGAAGTATTACATCAAGTTGAGCGATTGATGGATTTGGATTAATCGAAAATTCCTAAAAATAAACAATACGTCAAACTTTATAACAGATTGTTTAGATTTTAATGGACTTCAAATCGAAATTGGGAGTATGAATTATTATTGAGATCGGAACCGCCTATAGTAAGTCCGACGCGGAATCGCTTACTCTGTGATTAAAAAGTAATTCTAAAATACACATGTAGACCATTGCATTGAACATGTCTTATGCTAAACTAAGCTAGAAGTGTCCTCTTTTGTTGTTTAATAAATCATTGATTTTAACACCCACATTTCGCAAACCCGATTGAAACCGAAGAAAGTCTAAAAGGGTTGATGCTCATGGATCAGTTTTCTTGGATGATAGTCATTTTAGTAAATTTTATAAAATGTGTCAGGCTTTCTAAAATGTTCCAATTTGAGACATCAATATTGAAAATTCTGTTACGAAGAAAAGCAAACTTTATTTTTTTTTTATTTATAGCTCAAGATAGCACACTCTCATCCAGATTTATGTAATGTTTGAAGTCGAAACTTGAAAGAAAGATCCCGAGATACGAATCCACATAGATTTTTTTCTAATCTTAATAGACTTATGTCAACAGTCGCTTAGCGAAGTTCTCTTATCTGTCTATACGTATTATTAAACTAGGATAATTATTGAACTTACAATTGTCAGATTGTCAGATTCAGCAGCTAGTTTATAAGCATCTTGTTCATTTTATTGTTGCTCAGATTGATTTGTTGGATGAATATCATCCGTCATAATGTCCAATGGGAGTGGCACAGAATTATTTGTATCTACTGTTGTTGTTTCTGATGATGACTTTTTTTTTTTGAGTTTTCTTTTTCTTTGGTTTCTCTGCAGTAGTAGGGGGAGATGTAGAAGTTGGACAATTGTTTTCTTCATCAGCTGGTGATAATAATTATTTATAATCACTACGTTCACGTTTGTGTTTAGCTTTCGATGTTGATGACTGTTCTTGTTTCTCATTTATTTTCTTTTTCTTAGATTTTTTTTTGGCTTTTCAGTTAATATAGGTGTTTCAACTCGTTTAGGAGTTGATTCTTTTAATTGAGATGTCATTGGGGGTGTAGGAATTGATTGAATAGGTTTTTCATCTAAATCAATATTAAGTGCTCGATGTGAATCATATTTTTTATTTTTTTCAATAGGTACATCATGATTATTATCTTCATTTTCACTTTCTGTAGCACCTTCTGGTAATTCACCACTACGTGTTACTTTAACAGTTGGATAAATATCATCATCATTATCATCAATTGCTGTTGTATCAGATTTTTTCGATGATTTTTTTCTTTTTTTTTGATGATTCACCATCAATTTTTGATTTTTTCTTTAAATGTCGATTTTCTTCATTAATTTTGGCTTGACGATATAATTGAGCAGCTAATGTTAATTGTAAACTAGTAGTATTCGCTCCTTGTGATAATGTTGATTCAATACGATTATTACCATTTATAGTATTCGACGTTGTTTCAGTCTACAATAGTAAAGATAAATTCAATAATGAGTTAAATATCGGAACTGAAAAACTAATTATCATCTTTAAACCAAAAATCAAACTATAAAAAAAATGATCTTGTTGACTGTGTGGTGAAAAATTTACTCTATTGTTTCCAACTCTTATCGGGATATTTTCCCTCGTAAGATTTCTAAATTGAAATTCTTTCTCATACCTGTTGTGTCAATTTTGGTTTTTTCGAATCTTTCAAATAGAATGGATTCATTTGTTCACTTTGTTTTCTTACTTCTCGTTATTTTTCTAATTCTTCAGCAGTTCGTTCAACATATTTTGTCGATTTTTAATAATCTAATGTATCACCAAAATATGAATTTGAATTCTACTTTTCTCCATTATCACCATAAAATAAATCTTTATTATCATAATGTGAACTTGTTGTTACTGATTCATCTTCACTATCTGATGGAGAATCATTTATCCAAGCATCCAAATTCAAACTAGAACATAATTAAATCAAATAAAATTATTAAACAAAGTTTTATTTTACCCATTTGGTACAATAACTTTTCTTTGAGCTTTAGCAGCAACTGGATTAAGAACACTATCAAATAATGCTGATGGTTCATTAATATTAAAACCAGATTTTTCAATTAATTTTAATGTTGTTTTAAGAATATGTAAAATAACACTTACCTAAATAGATAATTTCTTTTCTTTATATTTGATATTTAAAATGAAAAGAAAAATGTTTACTCGTTCTTGTGCTTCAACATCACCACTTGATAAAAATAAAGACATTTTATCAATAGTTAATGAAAGAAGTTGTTGAGTGAATATTTCATCATTATTCTATGATTGAATTAAATATGTTATAATTTTTAAAATATTTTGATAATAAACAGATTGAATATGTCCAGGAAAAAGAGTAACTTTTGTATTAAGCATTGATTCAAGAGTTTTTTGTGGTTCTTTTAAATGATTAACCCTTTGCGGGCCAAATTTTGTATAGCCGATTTCTGTCGATGTTTAGGGTGCAGTTAGGTAGACCTTGATCCAGATTGTCATGCGCGAGGATCAGATCATCAATATTGGGATACTTCACGTTTAACATGCTCACTTATAGCGACTAACATGAGTATAGTTTATACAGAAGGTTGAGTAAGGGTGGGTGTGGGTGTGGTGCGTAACGTGTGGATGTTGATGAAGAGCAAACCAACTGACTTCCACACTCACACCCACTCCCCACACCCACACCTTTTTTCCTTATTTATTGTACAGTTGGACAAGAAAATATATGACGTCATTTTCTTTGTTATATAACTTTAACTCGAATAGCCAGAAATTAACCCTATCTATGCAGTATTATCATTCTTTCTACCAGAATCATTTTTTCCTAATTTATTATAGTTCTTTGACCAAAACCAAATAGGTGGGACATATATGTCCCACTGGCCTCCAAATGGTTAAATAAGAACTCTTTGAATTAAAAATTTCTTTCTTTTTTTTTGTTTTGTTATTTACGAACAAAATTCACCATAAATCCATGTAGCAGCATATAAAACTTCAGCGACAGTTGTAGAATTTGAACCATGAATAAAAACATGAGCATTTACAAGATGAGCTGCCTGACAAAAAAAATAAAATATTTTTCTTGATTTTATTTAAAAAAAAATTTCTACCATTTGGTTACCAGCAAATGAACGAATAGATTCAACACAAACAGCAACATCAAGCATTTGTAAAGATATGAGATTACCATGTTTTGTTCCTTCAAGACGAGTTAATTCAACTAATATACTAAAATACCTATTTGAATAAATAAATTTTTATTAATAAAAATTTAAAAGAAATATATGCCAAACCATTCAAAATTAGTTCTATGTTGATAATCATTTTGACTACATATTTCAATCATTTTTGACAGTAATTCATCTCGATAATGTGATCCTTCAGATTTATCCATATGAACCATTAATTTATGTACGATATCCATTAGAGTTTTTCTTGTTATCTGAAGCAAAAAAAATCTTCATTGATTTTCAACTAATAATTCATTTGTTGTTACCATTCCAGGAAGAAGATCAAGTGCACGTAAACGAATTGATTCATCTTTATCATCAAGATAAAGCATTATTAAATCACTATGTGCTTGGACACTTTTTGGATGTTTGTAAGATTTTCGACATTGCAAGTAAACCAAGATATTTTACTTAAAAAAATTAAAAAATTTTCTTTTTGTATAATTAATTTTATTTATTTCATACAATTTTGATCTGAATCTTCAATAAGTAATCCAAGTTTTTGTACACATAATTGAATTGAAACATTATGATTCTGTAAACCTGATGAAATTGAAACAAGAACTTAAACAAATAGAAAATACAATACATGCATAAATTTATCTATCTATTTAATCTACCAGCAGTCACAGTATTAATACATTCATATAAAAGAGACATGGCTGAAGTACTATGAATTAAATTTGTCAATGGTTATATTAGTTTTTTGCCTAAACGAGGTTCTAATGGTGTTAATGCCCCAAACTAAATAAAAACCATTCGAAAACAAAGAAATTAAACAAAATCGATGTGAAGCTAGCACGACGGCCAATCAGGAGCGACTTTCAAATCGACCAATCAGCTTTCGAGCATAATTTACCATTCACACTCCATGAAATACCATACAAAACCACCTTAGCCAGTGTTTTTAATAGTAAGTACCCTAAGCAAAAGCAAAGTACCCGAGGTACTTACGATTTTGAAAAAGTACTTTGATTGTTGCTGGAAAAACATGGAAAAACATGGAAAAAACATAGGTAAACTATGGATTTGTACTTTGTTTTGAATTCCTATTAAAAACGCTGACCTTAGCAACCACACTATTTTTCATACAACCAAAACAAAAATAATAATATTTTCAAAACGAATCAAAACAAGTTTCTCAAACACATAAAACATCACCTATATGAGTCATCCATCCTGAACTATCGCTCAACTCACCAGAAAAAAAAAAACTTTTATCAAGAGGATCCATTACCCGAGGATGAGTTGTACATCAATCTGTAGAGAATTTAATTCTCTATCGATTGATGTACAACGCAACTTAAGAATCCATTTTGATATCGGTCATCCAGCCTCAAATCTGAGTCCAGTCAGTAGAAAAAACAAAACAAATTCCAAAAAAACGAAAAATTCTATGAAATCAATCCATTGCCCGAAGATGAGTTGTAAATCAATTTGTAGAGAATTTAATTCTCTATCGATTGATGTACAACTCATCTTAAGAATCCATTTTGATATGCGCCATCCAGTCTCAAATATAAGTCCAGTGGGTAGAAAAAACAAAAAAAATTCGAAAAAAACAAAAATTTTATGAAAGCGATCCATTGCCCGCAGATGAATTGTACATCAACTTGTAGAGAATTTAATTTTCTATTGATTGATGCACAACTCA